CCGAGAGAAAGAAGCGTTTGAGGGGTGGGAACAAGATAACACAGTACCGCGCCATTTCCCTAGCTCATAACCTCGCCAGTGGACCCCGCCACCGCCCCATACCCCGCCCCCGCCCCCGCCCCGCCACTTTCTTACCTAAGCCCACCGCGCGCCGCAGGTACTTCAACCGCGTCCACACCGGGTACGAGTGGAACAAGTACAACCAGACGCACTACGACCACGACAACCCGCCGCCAAAGATGGTGCAGGGGTACAAGTTCAACGTCTTCTACCCCGACCTGATCGACCGGCGCAAGACGCCGACCTACTCCCTCTCGCCCGACCCGGGCTCGTCGGACACCTGCATCCTGCGCTTCCACGGCGCACCGCCCTTAGTCATGCCGCAGAGCCACGCCTCACGCACCTACTCGCTGGCCGCTTGATCTCGCCGTCTTCTCGCGACATGGCCGCTGCCCCTGCCTCGATGCGATGCTCGAGAAGGCGTGGTGCTGTAGAGTATGGCCCTCACCCGCCTCTGCCCTTCGCCCCTCAGGCGGCCCTCCGTACGAGGACATCGCCTTCAAGATCGTCAACCAGGAGTGGGAGACCAACCACAAGCGCGGCTTCCGCTGCCGCTTCGAGCGGGGCATCCTGCAGCTCTACTTCAACTTCAAGCGCCACCGCTACCGCCGCTGACTGGGGGGGGGGGGAGGGGTGGTGCGCCGTGCGCGCTCTACTGCCGCCTCGAGTCGAGAGGAGCTGCCGCGGTGGCGCCTCGCGCTTTCGCGCGCTCGATCGCGCGCGGGCGGAAAGTCTTGGCGGAAGCTGGAAGAGACGCGGACGCCGATGCATCTCACCAAAATACATCCAAGAAAAACGAGACACCACGCTCACATGTCCGCTTCGCGCGCCGTGTGCCGGCAATAATGCGCCAGCCCTCAATACAAGAGCTCAACCAGCTCAGCTGCTCCAGCTCTGGCCCTTGGAGCTTGGACAGGTGCCCGGTGTAATATACGATATTTCTAAGGACGCGTCCCCCCACAACACATAACTAGTAGGTTGAGATGGCGACCGTATTCGTATCGAGAGCGGCCGCCGCCCAGGCGAGGAGTCGAGGAGGAGCTAGTGGAGGTCACAGAATGATAGCAATAGAGCAAAGGCAGGGCGAGGCGGATGGCATGCAAAAGGAAGTGCCGAGACGACCATAGTGGAAGGGCAAGGAGGGCGGGACGAGGGGGCTTGTGGGTGAGTGCTCTACCAGGTCAGCAAGCGCGCCAGGTGTCCTCGCTTCAAAGTGCCTCACTGAGACCAACACGGTCGGCGAACACGTTTCTCATGCTCCGTCATCGGCCTAGTCATCGGCCAAATCGTAGGGTCCGGCAAACTCTGCGATCGTCGCAGCCTGCGAGACCATAGACCAGCATCTGCGACAGGGTGGATGGTAGAGGTTAGCTTCTATGTGGTGTGAAAAGAAGGGCAGAGACTCTGCGCACGCGAGATCAGCCGACAGATTGGCGATGTCCGGCAACAGAGGAGCCCCGTAAAAGTTGGAGCTCGCGTAACTCGGGAAGCCCTCATAGCCCGGGAAGGCCTCTCCGTTCCATGTCCCAAGATTGGTGGCACCGGGGGCAGTCCATTGCGTTGGCATGAAACCAGCGTAATGGGCAGGGTACACGTAGACGAGAAGATCAGCCGTGCGACCCCCGTGAGTGCCATGGTACTGATTGTCGACCACATCCAAGCCCTTCAAAACGATGATCTCGGGCCCAGATCGCTTCCACACTCCATCTTGTAAAAACCCCTTCACAGGCCCAGTCTCGGACTTGAATTGTTTCGTAGCTTGACGGAGCGCGTCCATGGCCTTTTGAGGGAAATGCGTGACGGGTTCAACGACATCCGGGGCGGTGTAGATTCGGGGCGGTGCGTACGGCCCGTTCATGACATCCGAGTATCCATCGACCGACACAGGGTCGCCCGCGTCAAAGATCTTCGCCATCGATGGATAGGCCGCGGGCGGGATGTCGTTACCGCTCCCTCCCCAAGGTGCGCCAGCGAGGTAGGCCTGCCATTTGGGAGCAGCGCATAAGACGAGGGCGTGTGACGCATTATGCGAGGAGAGAGGAGCGGGGTGCCTGGTCGCGAACATACGGCAGGCCAAAGAGGGGCAGGATCGAAACGACGAAGGAGTAGAAGGACACAATCATCACCTTGTTCACGCCGCGCGCTATCGCCGGCCCGACCCGCGGAGAGGGGAAGTACCTGCGCGAATGGGACGCAGGCGGTTGGGACGCAGATGTGTTTCAGCTACCGGCGTGTGCAGCTAGATACCCCGCGTCATCAAAGAGCAGCTTGGTGGCAACTTTGGAGGTATCACCGTCTGGCCAGCCATAGAAAGATTGGTTTGAAGAGTATTTCAGGTTGCGGCTGATGCACTCCTGAGTGCGCTGCGGCAACCACTTGAACGGAGGGCAGCCCAAAATTTTCGAGATGATCAGATCGCTAAGGCCTCCAGTCAGCGCGTTGGTTCCGGCCGCTACCGCATCCTTGAGCCGAAAGTTGCCGCGGTTGAACTTGACCGAGGGCACGGTCATAGAAGGGTGCGGCGAGAGAGAGACAGACGGGAATGGCAACGCTGCCCACCCACTGCAGCATCCCGAGGAGTATTCGGGCACGGGCCCTCCGAAATACATAGTCTCAACTGTGTCGGGCGTTGCCGTGAAGAGCATCGCTGTGACGCCTGAGTACTTCTCGTTGCGCAATTTGGTCACCGCTTTGGTGTCAGGAATGGCCCTCATTTCCGGGGCGTAAGCTCCCGTGGGGGCGAACGGTGGCTCATCGTAACCCTCGATTGCCTCACCATAGACGGTATTCTGGCGGATGGCCCGGTCGAGCCCCAAGGCCAGCTCTGTGTACGTCGAAGAGCCCGCGCTGGTGTTGCCACCGGGCCCGGAGAAGCGGAAATTTATGTAGGCCGGCGGCTTCTTGGCCACGACAAACTCGCTGTCGCACAAGCAACAGCAGCTCTGGCCAACAGCTTCCTTGATGGCGTCGTCGCCCGAGGCCGTTCGCGCGAAGCCGTTGACTCCCATGAGCTCAAGTGCAGTGACGCCTGTCATACAGTTCCAGAGCCCTGCCAAAACACTGTTTCGCGGCCCGCACAAGGCGCGTGGGAAGGCCAAGCAGCAGCGAGGGACACAGCACGGGCAGCAGTATGCACACACCATACACGCTCCCTCGCCGCAGAGTGCCTGCTGGGTTGACGCGTAGCCGATTGCGGTGTGCGAGATATTTCCGTCGAGCCGGAGCCCCGCGGGGTTGCTCGTGTCGCTGTTCGGCCCAAAGTCGTACTGGGGCACCCCGTGACCATCTGCCGCGCGCTCCATCTGAAGCAGATGTGGCCGCTCATAGTCAGAGTAGGAGAGCGCGACGATGGGGACAGTCGACCCGCTCTCGGAGAGCACAAAAGCCGGAGTCTCCAGGAGCGGCTTCTTCGGGTTGTCCGGCGTCTTCACAAGGATGGCGTTGAGCCCGCGAAACACTCCCTCCGTCGCCACCCAAGGAACAGCATTCCCTCCTTCGATCCCAATTGCCCACTGATTCTCACTCGGCGGGCTTGGTTTCGGCACGTTCTTTTGGCGACAGCTCTTGATGTAGTCGTGAGTCGGCTTGGGGACCGAAGGCAACATTGGGCCCGCCCCTCGCATCCTGCCGACAATTCTGACCTCAGCATCCACCGGCAAGTATTTCGGCACGAGGTCATCCGGTTCAAATGGCGTCCGCCCGGTGGCGGGCACGTCGAACCTAGGGAACAACCACGGTATCGGGACGGAGTGTGTCGGTTTCAAAGGGATGCACGCGAAGCTCACCAGACGCTCCCTCCCTCGCAGACAGCGGCGGTCTCCGCCGACAGTTCACGGAAAGTGGTACCGCCCTTGATAGAGAGTGAGAACGTCTTGCCGCTGAGGTTCTTGAACAAGACACGGACGGGGCGCTCCTGGGTCGTAGCATCCGGAACGTGTTAGATGGGGGACGACGAAAAAAGCAGCGCCTGGCCGCCGCGCACCTCCGGCGTGTTGGGGGGGGGCAGGAACGGCGGATTGTCCCCCGGCTTTCCGAGGAAGGCGTTGACCGACGTTTCGTCTACTGGCAGCTCCATGTCCACGGGCTCGATGGCAAAGGCGCGCCCCTTGGCTACGCCCGCCACCGCCGCCTCCGCGCCCTCGAATGCGCCGCCCGCCGCGCCCGCCGCCGCCGCCGTCGGTGGCGCACCCTCCTCCGTCGGCGGCTCCACGTCGATGGCCGACGAGGACGTGGCAGGCTTTACCTTGGTGGAGCGAGTCTTTACCGACTTGCGAGCACTGCCGCGCATGGGGCCCGTCCACCCCAACGGCACGCCTTTGGCAATGGTCGAGGACTTGGAGACGCCGCCGCCGCGAGACGTCTTTCCCTTGATGATGAGGGCGTCGCGAAGGCGGTTGGTTCTGCGCGTCTTGACGCACAGAGGAGCCGCAGCGAGGGACTCCGCAGCGAGGTACTCCTTGTAGGACGCGCGAGCGGTAACCTTCGCCTAAATCATACGGCACGCGTGAAAAGATGAAACCTGCTGTCAAGCAGTGCTGGCTGCATGCCTTCTCCCATGCGTCCATCGTCGCGGAGCTCGCCTTGCCGAAGCCGCGCATGTCCTCTGCCGGAGCCTGGTTAGGCGTTGACGGATGATAATAGAAGGCGCAACCCGCCATGGTCGGGTCAAAGGGGACGTGCTCGCGAAGCTGCGTGTGATCGCGCGGGCTCCACGCAAAGGTGTCACGCGCGCCGCATCCCGCCGGTCCCGAGTCCTGACCCAAAAACGGCCGGTCGATGGCGACCGCCTTCCTGGCCTGTGCACAGGCAGTGTGGTGGGGTGAGGGGTTTGACGCTACCAGGCCCCACGCGGCGAACGAGCGGACGAAGTACCGTCGTGAAGCTCGGCTGGCTGGCACCGACCGGCCACCCCGAGTTCTGCTTCGAGCCCTTAGAGAAAACGAACCTGCACTCCAGCTTAGTGAAGACCAGCGCGCTAGTCTGTTTCCATGGCGCTGCCGTTGCCGCGGCTAGGCCGAGCTCGCGGGGATCGAGATTTGTCCAGTCGTCTGATTCGATGCAGTCCATTCTTGATAGCGATAGTACTGCGAGCGGAGGGGGCAAGCGGTTGGTGGGGGTGCAACCCACTCGGTCGGAGAGCGAGGGCGCATCGGGATTGATGCGTGGTGGGATTGATTGCATGCGTCGGTTTCGTGAGAAAGAGCCGTCGCGGGGCTCAAGGCGTGCAGCTCGCGGCGACCAAGGCGATGCGTTGGAGCCAGCGCGAGAGGAAGGGCTAGAGTGCATGCCTTGGACCATCGGGGAACAGCGTGACCAACCTGAGGCGCCCTGATTGATGCAGACCTTCTCGAGGTCTCGAGTTAACCCTGGTAGGTGGATTGTCCAAAATACGTCAGCCTCGCACGCCAAGAGCTAGGTCTGACACCCGACCGCCCCCCCCTCCCTAATATTAACCGGCGAGAGCACATTTTGGCCGGCTAATGTTAGGGAGGGGAGGCCGAAAAACGCAGACTTTTGTCCACCTACCAGGGTTAATCAGCTGGACCGAATTTTACCAAGTTGGACGCCGTTGGACGTATCCAGTGTTCACTGTCTACGTGTAGCGACGGGCGCTGCGCGATAGCTGCTTTGTGGGTCCCGAAAACGAGAAAACAGGCCTTTTTGGGAAAGCCGACTTTGCCCCTTAACCCTGGTAGGTGGATTGTCCAAAATACGTCAGCCTCGCACGCCAAGAGCTAGGTCTGACACCCGACCGCCCCCCCCTCCCTAATATTAACCGGCGAGAGCACATTTTGGCCGGCTAATGTTAGGGAGGGGAGGCCGAAAAACGCAGACTTTTGTCCACCTACCAGGGTTAAGGTCTTTTTTTTGGCTGGTATGGCTATGTGTGCATGTGCACTGTCGGCACGGCGCCTCGGGGTCGCAGCGGCTCTTGCGGACGACGAGAGCCGCCCCTCGCCGTCGATGAAGACGCTGTGGAACTGGCCTCCCGCCGCCCTCCTTGGCGGGTTGGACTCGCGCAGCAAGGCACAGAAGCACAGCCACCGCACGGCGCAGCCCTCGCCCTCTGGCTGCGCCGGCAGCTCGAAGCCGCGCTCTTGCGCCCACAAGCGGATACCCTGCTCCGCGAGCGAGGCGTGGAAGAGGAGCGAGACGGCCGCGACGCGAGCGATGTCGGCGGGGTCGCAGCGAGAGATGACGCGCGCGAGAAGCTCAAGGGGCAGGTCGGTGAGGGGGCAGTGTGCGGCGGCGGCGGCGGCGGGCGCGAGGCGGCGCGAGCGGCGCGGCGGGGAAGACATCGCGAGAGAGAGGGCACACCGGAGAGTCAGGGATACCCATCACTGAGCCGACGATGCTATAGCGTAGCCCCAGGGTGGCGCCCACCCCCATACCCTCAGGCACTTGCCTGCGCCCTGGCCGCGCATGCCGCGCACGCGCGCGCACGCCCGCGCACGCCGCGCAGTGCTCGATCTTTACCGGTATGAGACCGGTATTTGGCGATATTTTGATTAGTTTTGGAGTGGTATGGTATAGTGGTACGCGAAAGTGGTATGCGGGGTTTTCATTAGTTGTAGCGGCTGTCGGTGTTGTCCCGGGGGCGAAAAACCATGCAAAAGTGCGGGCATTACCCGGGTATACCCGGGTTTTTCCAGGTATACCCGCAAAATACCCGGTATTTTGCCGATTTTGCCGATTTTGCCACGAAGAAGGCACTCCGACTCGCTTTGATTTCCGTGAGGCAACTGGTATCCCGTACCACTTTTTGATTAGTGCAGGCCTTGGGTTTGATTAGCCAAAAACTCCCATACGATACCGGTAAAGATCGAGCACTGACGCCGCGCACGCGCGCGCACCACGCCCGCGCGCACGCCGCACTACGCGGCACTGCCCAGGTTCCCTCACGCTCAGATTCCCTCACGCTCAGATTCCCTCACGCTCAGATTCCGTGCAACAGGGGGTGCCGAGGTATGCCGCAGGCCGGGATGGAGTGAGATCTTGCGGGGCAGGTGGCGTGGGCTAGCGCGTGAGGCGGGCGCAGGCAAGTGATGCGCCCGAGGGTACGGCTTTATGGGGGTGGGCGCCACCCTGGGGCGGCTACCCGTAGCATTGTCGGCTCAGACCTCAGTGATGGCTGGGATGGGTATCTCCCAGCGGGTGAGAGGGGGAGCTTCCGAGTTCCGAACAATGAACAAAAAGTATTGAAAAAATCGGAAACCACGACACGACTGAGGAGGTGTCATGGTCCTACCACGGACGATACGAAACCGTCGGCCCCGTGGCCGTGCGCAGTTGTGAGGCTCGTGCACCCAGCTGTGACGCTGGTACTAGCGGCGCGCGGGCATCCATCGACGCGTATACGCTGAGGTGCTTGGCGACTACATCCCGCGGCGATGCTGCGGCTTGCCAGCTCGCCGGGGCCCCCAGCGCGCCTCGGCGCGCCACCTCAGCCTGCCTGCAGGGCTTGTTTGCATGCCGCGGCGCTGGCCTCGCCGGCGCCGGCGCCGCCCCTGTTGCATGCCGCGGCGCTGGCCTCGCCGGCGCCGGCGCTGCCTCTCTCGTGTGCTGTGGCGCTGGCCTCGCCGGCGCCGGCGCCGCCCCTCTTGCATGCCGCGGCGCTGGCCTCGCCGGCGCCGGCGCTGCCTCTCTCGTGTGCTGTGGCGCTGGCCTCGCCGGCGCCGGCGCCGCCCCTCTTGCATGCCGCGGCGCTGGCCTCGCCGGCGCCGGCGCCGCCTCTCTCGTGTGCTGTGGCGCTGGCCTCGCCGGCGCCGGCGCCGCCCCTCTTGCATGCCGCGGCGCTGGCCTCGCCGGCGCCGGCGCTGCCTCTCTCGTGTGCTGTGGCGCTGGCCTCGCCGGCGCCGGCGCCGCCCCTCTTGCATGCCGCGGCGCTGGCCTCGCCGGCGCCGGCGCTGCCTCTCTCGTGTGCTGTGGCGCTGGCCTCGCCGGCGCCGGCGCCGCCCCTCTTGCATGCCGCGGCGCTGGCCTCGCCGGCGCCGGCGCCGCCTCTCTCGTGTGCTGTGGCGCTGGCCTCGCCGGCGCCGGCGCCGCCCCTCTTGCATGCCGCGGCGCTGGCCTCGCCGGCGCCGGCGCTGCCTCTCTCGTGTGCTGTGGCGCTGGCCTCGGTTGCTGCGGCGCCAGCCCTCCGGAGGGCGACGGTGCCAGCCTCGCCGACGGCGCTGCCCCTCTTGCATGCCGCGGCGCTGGCCTCGCCGGCGCCGGCGCCGCCTCTCTCGTGTGCTGTGGCGCTGGCCTCGGTTGCTGCGGCGCCAGCCCTCCGGAGGGCGACGGTGCCAGCCTCGCCGACGGCGCTGCCCCTCTGGCATGCCGCTGCGCAGGGTGTGCCTGAGCCGGCCCCAATCTCGACGGCTGCGGAGCTGTGGGCGGCCGAAGTATCGATGGCTGTGGAGCTGGATCCGACGGCTGCGGAGCTGGCCTCGACGGCTGCGGAGCCAGCCCTCTCGAGGGTGGGGGAGGTGCAGCTCTGGTTGCAGCGGCCGGAGCCGCTCTAGCTGGGGTGCCTCTGGCCAGGGCGTTGCGACGCTCGAGGGCACGCTCGAGAGCAACGACGCTGTCAGAGCCTTGCGCCGGTACGACTCGGCCCGGCGCGGGAAGAGGAGCGGGGCGCCCCATAGGGGGGGGCGGCGGGGCGGGCGCGACGGGTGGGAGGCACTTGGGGTTATCGAGTAGAAGTTGCACCTACAAGCACGGAATGACGGAAAAGTGGCGAGGAGCGAGGAGCCGGAGATAGTGCACTCGCGAGAGCGGCAGCACCGCGCGGGAGGTGTCGCCGCCGCAACGGCGCAGCGCCTCCTCTGCGAGCGGTGCGCGAAAGCCCATTCGGACCTGCAACGTGGGCGGCCCTCCTTAGATAGGCAATCGGGTGCTCAGCGAAGCGTAAAAGCGATCGCGTACCAGCTCCGCGACCTCTCCGGTCGCTGTCGTCCCCGCGGCGCGCCCGCCTAGGGCGGGCGCGGCTCTGCAACTTGCGGCGGGCGCGGCTTTTGCGGCGGGCGCGGCGGGTTGACGAGGAATGGGGCGGCCAACTCCGTCGCCGCCAGCGCGGAGGACGCAAACAATGTCGTGTCGCTCGGCGGCGAGGCCCGACGCCCTCGCGCGGAGCGATGCGATCCGCTCCCCGACCGCGCGAAAGAAGGCGGCCCCCTGCGCCACCTCGGCCGAGAGCGCCTCGTGCATCGCCACCGCCTGACCGAGCCCGCGCAGGAAGGACTGCTTGGCGCGTAGGGCGCCCTCTGAGGCGGAGCGGATCGACGCCACAAAAGTGGTGTTTGCAGCGACGGCCGCCTCGAGCAGCTCGCGGTGCCGCGCGCAGAACACCTCGGCGCGCCGCTTGACGGGGGCCAGCTTGGCCAGCTCCGCCGCCACAAGCTCGCCGGCAGGCATGCCCTCGGGCCGGTGCACGAGTGCAGAGACAAACTCCTGGTTGTATGGCGCAGCCTCGAGGCACAGCTCCAGCCGCGGGCCGTCCTCAAGCAAGCCGAACGCCTGCTGCGCCGAGCGGCAGAGCACGCCGTTGACGCTCAGCACTACATCGCCGACGCAAAGGCCCGCGTGGTGCGCCGGCGTGCCGACTCCCACCGCCTATTCACAGCAGTGCGGGTGTGAAGAGACGCTGTTCACACCTCCTTGCGGATCTCGTGCCGACTCCCACTGCCTCGATCACCACCCCGAGCTCTCCTCGCTCGCCGTCGCCGTCGCCGCGGCCGCAAGCGCTGATGGTGACCCCGAGCTGTGCCTTTGGCGTCGGCCGCTGCAGTACGAGGCGGCGTGTCGGCCGCTGCAGCTCGCTCGCCTCGGCGCAGATCGCCGCGCGCGAGTCGGCATGGGCGGCGAGCGCATCAAGCGCCGCCCGCAGCGCCGCACTGGACGCAGGGTCGGCGCTCGCGCCCTCTGCCGGCGCGGCGGGCATGCGCGACGCCACCTCTGAGAGAGGGAGCTCGAGGAGTGGCGCCGCCTCGGCGGAGCAGACCGCGGCCGCGCGCTCGAGCACGGCCTTGTTGGCGGCCGTCGCCTCGGCTAGCCGCGCGAGGCACCGATCCAACTCGGACCGCAACTCGGCGATCGCGCCGCTGCCCCTCGATGCGCGCCACGCCTCGCCGAATCTGGCCGCCATCTCGGCCTCGGCCGCCGCCTCGGCCGCGAGGACGGAGCCCACCCCCCGCGCGGAAGCCTCGCTCGCCCGCTGCAACTCCACCAGCCGGCCGGCAAGCGCCTTGAGCACTCTCGGTCCGCCACTCTTGTGCACGGCCGTCAGGGCGCCCGTAAGCGCCAGTGGAAGCGTGCCGCTGCCGCCGCCCGCCGCGGTGCCGGCCGCCTCGGCCGCCTCGACTGCCTCGAGCGCGTGCGGCAGGTCGAGGGCGAGGAGGGCAGAAGCGGCCGAGTCGCGCTCCTCCTCGAGGCGCGTGTGCAGCCCGTCGAGGGCCTCGCGGGCGGCGGAGGCGTACGCGAGCAGAGCCGGCTGTACCGAGTGTGGCACCAAATGGGCAAATGGGTCCGCCTCTCCGCCCGGCGCGGCGGGGCCGCTCCCGTCGCCCTCGCCCCGCCGGCCCTCCAACAGCCAGGCCTCCTCCTCGAGCGCCTCGAGCGGGTCCGAGTGCGGCCGCACAATCGCCTTGCCTCGCACCGGCGACAGCGCCGACGCGGGGGGGAGGGGCTCGAGGTAGACTATGGTGTTGTCCTTGTCGGCCTGCGCATGGGCCTCCTCGAGCCGCGCGAGCGCCGCCTCGAGCGGAGCGCGTGAGACGGGCGCCACCGTCGCTGAGGCGCGCCGCCCTTTTGGCGCGGCTTGCGCCGACGCCGCCAGCGCGGAGCGCAGCCGCTCGACGCCAGCGGCGAGCCGCGCGACCTGGTGTCCGTACTCGTTGGCCGCCGCGTGCTCCTCCGCCCGATGGAGGAGGGCAAGGCTGTCGAACACGGCAGCGCCCAGGCCAACCGCCTCTCCCCAAGAGCTGTCGACCCGCGGCGAGGCCGGCGATGCGCGGAGCTGCTCGCCTACACGCAGAAAAGGGCTTCGTGGCGCGCTTAAGGCCCGCGAGACGTGAGGCGCCGCGGCGGCCGCGCCCGTCTGCGCGTAGAAGGTGCCCGTCTGCGAGGCGGTGACCGAGAGGAGGCGCGGAGACAGGCCGTCCGCCGCCGCCCGCTCGTAGTAGCAGCGCTGCGCCTGCGCGAGCAGCAGTGTGCGCATCGCGTCGAGCGTCGCGTCGCACAGATCGCCGCACCTGCGCCAGGGTCGGAGACACGGTTGATGGCTCCATTTGGAGTGGGCCCTCGTCGCTCTAGCAGCGTGCCTGGCGCCGCCGGCCCACTCCGCCGCGACAAGCTCGCGCAGCCGGTCGAGCAGCCCCGCCGCGAGCTGGAGCAGCTGACAGGCCCGACGGATCCCGTCCGCGTCGGACCGCTGCTCCGCCGTCGCCTCGAAGGAGAGGACCGCCGCAAGATTGTACAGTGCAGCAGCGCGCTCAAACTGTGCGCTCGGCTCGCGCTGCTTGGCGGAGGGGTTGAAGGCGCTGCGCCAGACGGAGGCGAGCTCGAGCTCGCCAAGGTCGAAGCGCCGCTCCAGAGATCCAAGCAGCCGGAGATACCGCAGCAGAGCGGCGCGCAGCAACCCAGCGGTCTTGTCGGTCAGAGGTTGGGCAAAGGCGAGCCGCCGCGTCTCATCCACGAGCCGGCCTGCGGCAGCGTGCGCGTCCGCCTGCCTGGCGGAGTAGGCGCGCCGGATGTAGCGGTCCAGCGCGCCTGCCCAGTCAGCGTCGCCATCGGGCCGCTTGAAGGGGAGGGCGAGCATGGGTCTGGACTCACAATGAAAAACTCTCCACGAAGTATTTCAGCGTCGTCTTTTGCGGCGGGCGTCGGTCGTCAATCGCCAGCGCGCTCAAATCCTGGCGAGTAGAGACCACGCCTGCTATTCACAGCACAAGCCCTCGCCGGGGGCTCGAGCATGCGCAGCGAAAAGCAGGCGTGCGGCATGCGGAGCCCCCACCGGCGGTGGGCTTGAAGACACTGAGCCGAGCGCGCCGGCGGCGGACCGCCGCCGGCGCGCTCGCTTCGGCGGATGGCTGAGCGGCACAGTTTCTGGCCGCCCGGCCTGCGAGCAGTCGCCGCGAGACGATCAAAGGCGCTCAATTCAAGCGCGCCGCCATGCCAGATCTCGCCCCACGCCCCGGCCAGACCGGGCAGTGCGTGCAGGAATGATGCAGGCATGATGGACGGGTGTGGTGAGCACGCCAGCGGCACCGCTGCGCACTCTCAGGGTCGCAGCCGCCTATCTCGTGAGGGGCGTGGCTCGGGGCGGGTGCGAGAGAGTCGAGGAGCGCGGCGCGCGAGCGCGCGCGTGGTAAAGTCGGTTTATATTTCATCACTGGTATAAGAGAGACCCAAAACGGCACTCGCGCCGCGCCCACGCGAGCTCGTATCACCTCAACACTCACACAGCACGCTTGAATGAAGCCCCCGAGGGGCGAGCCGGACCGGCTGTGGACTTGATTGGACTCGACGGTTCTCCTCGCAGATCCATGAGGAGCTGTGCGGAGGCACATTTCCGGCTGGTTTCGGCTCCAGCAACTGCTAGCATCACGTGGAACCGCCGGCGGGGCGAGAGCCAGCAGCGGGCAAACCGCGCCTCCGGTGCTCCGCTGCGATGACGAGCTGGCGCCAGCCACGCGCGGCCTGGCCAGGTCGGCAGACGAGCAGCAGGCATGCCGAGCGCGCGCGCGCGCGGCGGTCTCGTTGAGGCGGCAGAGCAGGCCGCATGTTGAGCAAAGAGGGCTCCAACACCCATCCTCGCCGAAAGACGGCGATCCAACCCTCCACTTGTCACACGCCTCCTTTTTCCAGACGGATCCCCCTGTGAAAAAGTGAGGCGTGGTCTCTACTCGCCAGGCTCAAATCCCTGCTGCTGCAGGCAAAAAGAATTCTGAACTCCCTCACTGGCACACACCGGCTCACCACCGGAGCCGCACGTAAAAAGAAGTGGTGCGCAGTCCTCTCTAGCAAGATACCCAGCTGCAGGGACCGCAGAGGCCAGAGCACTGAGAGCTCTCGCATCCCTTCAGCATGCGGCCCAGCGGGCAGTACCCCCTACGCCGACCGAGAACCTCGGAATTTCTTTTTCCTTCTGCCGAACGAGGAACGTGCAACGTCCAACGACCACAACGACCAACGTTGGAAGGTTCTGAGACGCCACAACGATCAACGACAACGCTCTGGGGGAGGCGGGGGCCCCCGGAGGCACCGTGCGCCGTGCAGCAGTGCGGAAACGGGGCTCCGGCTCTATTAGTCTCTATTAGCACCGACTTCCCGATCTAACCTGGTCTAACAGAGGGCAGATTTGGAGAGATCTCGAGGAGTACATACAGATAGACCCTCCAATCATCAGAAACCTCCAACCTGATCGGTCGTACTGACCGCCGACAGATCACTCTAGACAGCAGACAGGCCGACGTCTGCACGCGGCCGGCCGGGCGAGAGGCTTGACACGATCCGACCCTGCGACCCTGATGCTGCTGCTCTAGCTATCAGACATGCATTGCTGACTGCTGCCACAATGTGCGACCTGTGCTGGCCCACTTGGCGGCCTTCCCGGTCAGTGGTGAGGCGCAGTTCAGAGCTGTCGATGGCGCGATGCCGCACTGGTCCCACATCGGTGACACGAGACCACCACGTTTGCCGGTCCAAGAGAGAGGCACTGGTGCTGTCCTGAGAAGGTGCATGGTCCCTCTTGACTGCCCATTAGCACGAGGCTGTGTAGGCATAGCCTCGAGAGTGCCAGCAGCCAATCCGAGGCAGTTTGTGACGCGCATTGCGTCAGAAGCGTGCACGCGCCCTGGAAGGACACCTTCCTACTGGCCGTACGATCAGGTCGTCACTGAATGCCGAAGACTAAGGCCGCGAGCTATGCAGGTGATCAATTGTGCAGCATGGCATGGTCAGCAGCGCCGAAAGGATGTCGCAAGGCGTGATAGCATGGCCGCAAGTTCGCCGCGAATTCCCATGTGAAACAAGTAAAAAATCGCTGCTTGGCTCAACCCGACCGTCCAACCTCCTTGTCGTCAGCTGTCGTTGCACGTTAAGTTGCCCCCCCGCCCCCGGTGGGGGAGGGGAACACGCCCGCGGATCGCTCCGTCTCTCTCCTGGCCGTCTCGCATGCTCGGTCGCCCGCGCCGGGCCGGCGCACTCCGGCGACGTCGCTTCGATCCTGATAGGCTTGCGCGGACGGAGGGGGGATTTTAGAAGATGCTTCATCCCAGACGTGGTTTCGCGCAAACTGCCATTGGGATTTTAGGAAAAACTAGAGGGCCCCTGCGCGGGCCCCGCCCCCCCCTCGAGGGGGGCGGGGCCCTTGCGACGGAGAAGAGGCCAGAATCGTACAGCAGCAGACGACGGACAACGAAGCAGTAGAGGCTTGCTAGGAAAATTGTAAGGCCGCCGTCAGCCGGGTTTAGATGTGTCTTTTTCGCGGGGAGGTGCCTTAGTGCCAGGTGCACCACATGTCTATGAGGTGTAATAAGCAAGACAGCGGCAGACAACGCGTCGCCACACACACAGAAGCACGCATATACTATGATACCCTCTCTCCTCTCTGTATAGCGCCGACGCCTAGTCGGAGGGCAACCAAGACGCGTCGCTGTCCTCGTCGGAGGCGCCGCCGACATCGGAGTCGATGCTGGAGGAGTCGCCGTCGGTGTAGGACGCATCGGAGGAGTCGTCGGCCCCGAGCGTCTCGCAGTGAGAGGCGTCCTCGTCGGAAGAGTTGCCCGCCTCGAGAGAGTTGCCCGTCTCGACGGCCGATGTCGACGGCCCGCACACATCACCCGCCGCCCGTATGGCCTGCTCGAGGAGGGAAGACTCCGACTCACTGTCGGACGCCGCCTCCGCGGCCGCCGAGCCGCACTCGTCACCAGAGCTCTCGCCCTCGTCGCTCTCGGGAACAATGCACGAGCGGAAGCCCATACCGCGAGTGCGGGGACGACGGGCTATGAGTCACATGCTAGGCTTGGCGGCGGCGGCACGCCCGTTGCGGACAGGGCGCGATGCGGACGCCGGCGAGGCGGCGGCGGCCCGCTTTCGTCGTCAAACTCGCCCCACTCGCAAGCGACATCAGCGTTCGGGGAGGAGGACGCACCCGCTGCACCGGAGAGCACCTCTGGATACACGACGTTGGCGGTGACGTGACGCCCGTCCGCACGGGGAGGGATGGCGAACCGGATGTTGTCGGGATGCCCGACGCGCGACGCGGCGACGTAGAGCTGCCCATGCGCAAAGCAAATCTCTGCCTCGCTGCCACCCTCTGCCAGCAGTGTCTGATGCTCGTTGGGCAGATGGACGCACAACGCCTCGACGGGAGGCGAGCGCTCGTAGAGGTGGAACTCGAAGATCCGCCAGCATGCCTCGCAGGCACCGATGCACCGAGCGTCCTGAAAGTTCTGTATCTCGTCGACATCGATCGCGTCGTTCTCACCGCAGACGCAAGTCATCGCACGGTCGGGGCCCTTGTACACGTATTTGTAGAGGTACTTCACAGAGCTGACGGAGCAGCACACCTCGACGTTGATGTGCGCATCGTACTTTAGCAACAGGTACGGGCTGTAAGGGACGACCCATCGGTTGTCGACAACGCGGCCCTTGTGGATTACGGGCGGCGCTCCAACCTCTGGAGGACGTCGACGGTATTCGGGGTAGATCTCCATCTCGCTGAAAGTCGTGGCCGCATGAAACGGCTTCGGGAAGCCTTTAGTGCAGAAACCCTCCTTGCTGAGGCACGGCGCTCCACGGTTACGAGTGCAGTCATTGTGCACCATATGTTCCAGCACGGCCTCGTGCAGCCTGACGGCTTGATCGTACGCTTTGGCCTGCTCGTCGTCATTCGGGCGAGGGCCAACTGGCAGCGGCGGTATCTCTGCGAGAACGGTGTCGTCAATCTCGTCGGCACAGGTGAGGCGGAACTGGCTATCGAGGATACACAAGATGTGACCGTGCGGCAGCCCACGCTTTTGAAACTCGGTGACGGAAAGGTTCGCATTGGCGGTCCCAAAGATCGCTTTTTCTTTGATGTCGGTCAGCAGTTCATTCAGCTTTTGACGAAAGACTCGGCTCACAATGTCTGGTCGATCGCACGCCTTGAGCCCCTTGGGGAGGGAGTTGACAATCTCGGGCCAGTTAGGATTGCACGTGAACGTGATGAAGAAGGACGGTTTACCGTGCGCGCGAACGACCGCCATCGCATCTTGATAGCGTCGGTGCAGATCTCGATTGCCGCCGACGAAGCTGCTGCTGAGAACGACACGCTTGCCGATTTTCTTGCCAGCGTCCCCCGCTGCGACATGGTCGACGAGGTTTTGATAGAGCACGGCCCGAATAGTTGTCTGATTGTGACGCTGCCATTGCAGCCTGCAATGCTCCGCCTTTGCAAAGGCGCTGCATACGTACTCCTAAAGACATGGACGTGCGATCGTGAGCAATGTAGGCAGCACGCGCTCTCGGGGCATGCCTCTCGTTTACGTGCCTGAAAGAGACGGCACGACATGAGGAGCGAGTTTGCCCCGTCTTGGTCGACACGCCACTGCACACGATAGGCGTAGAAGTCGCAGGGACTGACGGACTGCTTGCTGCCAGTCTTGGTCATCCCGATCTTCCATCCGTCGTCGCCAGCTGGATGGAGGATGACGAAGTGAAGTGGGTCGTACCCTCGATGTGTCTCGTTGATTGTCTTGAGCGCGCCCCCCCGCATCTTGACCACGATATCTCGGCCATTCTCATCGGCGTCGGGCTTGAGAACAGCCACCTCGGCGTAATCTTGGCGGCCGTAGGTTTTGTCACTGGGCGCGTTGTACCTCCGAGGGTGCGAGGTAGCAGGACCGTCGCCGGGAGGGGGCGGAGGACGAGCGTCGGCGTTGATGACAATCTTGGCCTTCGTCTCGTTGCCGCCCGTACGCTCGTACGCCTACGAGGAGGACCGAAAGAATAAGTCAATATGGTTCATTTGCAGCGCGGCACACGCAGCACGGCGCTTACCTTGACAAAGTCTTGGACGTACGGGTTGTGCTCGGTGATCGCCTTTTGCATGATCTCGAGGCATTCACGGACACGTTCCTTCTCGGCTTGAGACGTATCGGCTGGCAGGTAGATCGCGCCCATTCGATAGTCGATCTGTTGGCACTCGCTCATGGACGGGTCATTGATGTACGTCTGAACGAATTGTTTCGACTGGTTGTCATTCGGAGCGAGGGACCCGATGAAGTGGTGGACTCTGCCCTGGATCACGACGGTCGGACTCCACGTGCTTGAGCCCGGAAGATTGTTCGGCCGCTTGACCTTTTGCGAGGCGAATGCTAGCGTGTTGTTGATGGCGCGGGCAAACTTCCGAAGTGTCTTGCCGACGACGCCATCAGCATCGTGCCACAATTTGGTGACTTCCGGACAGGGCGTGCAGATGGGCGGGAGCGAGACCTTGTTCTTCTTGCAGCATATGGAGCCGTAAGTAGGGTTGGTCGAGGTGACCTCGCCCGGAAGCAGCTCGGCGCCACAGCCAGCGCACGTGGTGGAGGTGCTCTGCTCTTCCTTTGTGAGAGCGAGCCTACGGTATGAAGAAAGTAGCACGTGTTAGGATCGTGCAGAGTGCGGCCGGGGCGGTGTCACGGCGGGCGCACTTGCCAACGTCGCTCCCCTCGACCAGCAGCGAGCCGTTGAGTATTTCGGAAGCGCGGCGGGCGGGGCGAGCGGCAGCCTGCCTCGCCCTTTTGGTCTGCCGACGCTCTCGTTCATCGTCCCTGTGCTTGTCACGCTGCCCGGAGCTCTCCTTCCTCCTCCGCACTCGGGACTGGTTTGCGGCCTGGCTGAGCTCGGTTGGACGATTGTTTGGCTTACGCACTCGGGCGTCAAAGAGCCGGCTCTTCGCCTGACCGACCGTCTCCCTCGGGTTGTCCCTGGCTCGCTCCTCGGCGTCGTCCGTGAGGGACACGCCCTGCTCGGCAAAGTACTGGTCCTCCATGTATTGTGCCCACCCAGCCGTGTCGCCAGCAAAGGTGTCGAGGTACTCCCTCCTCGTGAGGATGTGGCGGCCGCGGACGACGGTGCGGCTGAAGGGGACGGTTGCCGTGCCGCCGACCGACGGCAGGCAACCGAGGAATACAGCAAAAAGGAGAAGCCCGCACGCCATCCCGCAGTTCGTACTCAGCTGCCCAAACCACCCAACAGACGGACCGCGGCGGAGTTGCGGCGGCGGAGACACAGCGAAAGGCCGGTTGGCGAGGCGTTCCTTCTCCTGCTGACGGCGACGCGACCGCACAGAGACCTTCCTCGCGCCTGCTTGGCCGCAGGCCGTCATCTCCGCCCTGTCTGGTGCACGGAGGTGCGGCGATGTGCTGCGGCGGGCTCCACGCGGCGGGCAAGCGAAGTTCGACCGGACCACGCTGCGGCCTTTATATATTGGACGTCAAACATCCCACGTGGGCTGATTCCACACCACCAAGCACCAGAGATGGAGCGAGGAGACAGGACACACGGGAAGAGGGGTCTCCCTGAAGAGGTGGAGAGCCGAGGCCCGAGAGGCGCAAAATTCTGGCAGAAACTTGTTAGCAGCCTGGCGGTGCGGAGGTCGAGGCCTGGTGCGCAGAGGAAATGTAGATGGCGTACTGGCCGAGGAAGACGTCCTCGCAAATGTCGACGCCATGGTCGGTGCCCGAGGCGCAAGCACCCGACGCCGGAACAGTGTTGGGGCCGGTCGGCGTGATCATCGTGGCGACGTCGAACCAGTAGTCGCAGCTCTCTTGAGTGCCGGCCTGTGCGCTGTTGACGTGGTTGGTGCAGTAGTGCATCCCGAGGCCCTGCGTCTTGTCGTGGTTGTCATTCTCAAGCTCGAGGTACTGGCCATCGAGGGCGATGCGGGCCATGTTAGTGTCATAGTAGAAGTTGAAGTAGACATCACCGCCACTCTGCCAGAAGATGGGGTCCTTTTCCTTGTTGGAAAGGCTCGTGGGAATGAATTCCTTCACCGGCCCGCCGGAGGTCACCTTGGTCCGGTAGTCGTTCTGGAAGTGGTCGAGCAAATCTTTCCCGGTGTGGCCAAGTGCAAACGCCCAGGTCTTGTACGCCTCGCAAGCCCCGTCCTGGTGGCGCACGATGGCCATGTGGTTGGCGGTCTTCTGAAAGACCGTCTGGTCCTTGTAGTCGGCCTTGAGCGCCCCTTTTGCGTCTGAGTAGGCAATGTCGGAGTCCCAGTAGGTGAATTTGCCCGCCGCAATTTGCCCGGCGTAAGGGCTGGTGCCACCATACGCGCCAGAACCGTGGCCGTCGCTCGAGTGAATGTTCATTGCCAGTTCCCAGCCCCCGGGGGAGTCGGGGGTGCCGTCGCTGTCACAATCCACTTCGGACAAGTGCCGCGCGGGGTAGCCGAACGCAGCCTCGGCACCCGGTCCGCCGCCCTTGTCGTCACCGTCATCCACCGTCGAGGCCTCGCCGGCGGCAAGAAGAAGCCCCCCGGCGGCCGGCCTCTTGCTGTAGAAGCGAGAAAAGGCAAACTCGACCGAATCGCCAGAAGGAAGCTCGTAATCCTTGGCGGCGCCCTCGATGGCGCCCTCCGCCATTGCCGACGTGCGGAAGCGCCCCTCGGTGGGGTAGACGTCGCGCTTGCCGTTGCGCGGCCCGGACGACGAGAAGCTCTGCCCGACGAGGCCTGCGAGAGGCCATTTCAAGTGGGGGGGGGGGGGTGTGATGGGAGAAAGCTGACAAATAAATGTGCCGGTCGTGTGCGCGAAGCACGCGTCACGGATGGGCGGGCCGCATGCGGTGGCTGTGCGGCGGCGCGAGGGGCTGGCCGCGCCGTGCGTCTGCCCGAGCGTGACTGGCGCAGTGGCGCGAAGGGAGAGGTCGATGCGGTGCTCTGGGCCCGCGATGCGCCCATACGCAAAGTTGCCTCGCGCAGTCGCCTGCCACTCCGGCGTGGTGAAAGTGGCGCTGGAGTGCTTCGTCTCGACGGTGAGGGTGCCGCAGGAGTAGGACCGGCCTGGGCCCAAGAAGAAGTTGCGCTCGCCGCAGAGGCCGGTGATCATGTTTCGCCCCGTGTTGAACTCGCTACGGGATGACATGACATGCATACATTTGCATGTGACATGTGCATGTTGCATGCACATGTCAGCGAGGCTGTCCCGGACTAATCCCCTCTGAGAGCGCGCACTTGAGCTCGTTGGCGCGGAAGACTGCGTGGACGAGCTCGCCCTCCTTTCGGCCCTTTGCGATGAAGTGCGCCTCGGTGATGAAGGAGCCGTCCACAGTCAGCCTGCCGTCGTGGAGCGCGAACGTGGCATCCTGCGGGGAACAGAGCGGCTGGGTGAAGCCTACTGGAGCTTCACTCGCGGCCAAGGACCTCAGCGCAAACCTCAGTCTTGATGTTGATCGCAAAGAACGGGGCGGAGTGGAAGCAGTACATCAGCCTGCGTGGGGCAAGCAGCACATCACCCTGCGAGCATGCGGGCAGCGGGGCGAAGGGACGATCACGCGGTATCACACCCGTTGCGACCGCGAAAGTCGGCGCGCCCCCCACGAGCGAACGACAGGTGCGGATCTTTGATGCCCTCGACAACGGCATCACAATCAACTGCCTCGGTGCGTCGTCGTATTTCGCGCCCGGTCGCTTTGAGTTGACCGAGTTCTGTAGCCTGGGCCGCCAACTGCTTCTTCAGCTCCCTGGCCTCCGCCTCCTGGGCCGCAGTCCGCTTCGCCATATTTGACTCCATCTCCAACATCTTAGCGTTCATGCGTTCAATCATCTGCGCAGCCTGCGCGGCCTTCTCGACCGCGGCAGCTAGTTGCACGCGCGAGACCTTGTCATCTCCCCGCACCCAACAATGAGAGGCAAGGCCGATGAACAGCACCCACAAGGGTGCTCTGCCTCGCATGACGCCCGAGTCGGCGATCGCCACGAATGATCCGACGGACCAGCTTATGAAGTTATGAGCAGTCTGCTACGTACGTTCCCGGATTTTGACCGCGAGGAGTTCGAGGCGACTTTGGGCTACTCGCGGTCCATACAGACGTCCAGGCGTGACTGAAATTGGGCCCCCCACCTGCGCACCGCTATCAGTTCCTTTGTTTTTTTCGCTAGTCATGGCGCATGGGCGGGGCTTGCCTTTTTTTTACCCAATGGCAATGCGCAATGGCCGTAACCCAATGGCATCTCCATAAACAAACCTAGGAAACAAAAGAGAGACCTTTCCGCGGCGGCGTCTCCAGTCACCACACGCTCCCCGCGCTGCTGGCAGTAAAGCCGTCGTCGGACGCATTACACACACCTTAGCTTTGGGGCCGGGGGGGGGGGCGGGCGGGGGCTCGTTGGCGGGAAGAGCGAGACCATAAAGAAGAAAAAACGAGTGCTGATGAAAGGTTGGCGCCTGACGAAGCGGTCGGAGGCATAGCAATCACAATACCACAGCTACACCTTTTGGAGGCGCCACGCTCCTGCATCTCTTCCGCATCCGCCCTCCGGATACGCCTCTGCCCCCTCCCACCCTCCCCGCCACGCCGAGCGCCCCTCCCTTTCCCCGCCCGCGCAGCTCTGACATCCAAGGTGCGTGTCGTCATCATCTGTCTCGCGTCCACCCATACCGCGTTGGTGTCCAGCAGGTCATGCAAAATAAATCTCAGAATAACCGATCGGTGTATCACACGCCCATTACAGATCACAGACGCCGCCGGCACGCACTCGCACTTCACACATGCTCAAACACAGCCCCACCAAAGCACAGCCCTGCTCAGAGTAGTCATGGACCGCGCGAAAAAAGAAAAAATCCCAAAAAATCGGCGCCTGCGGCGGGCTGGGGGACCCCATCTCCCCCCCGCATGGGTACCCCCTAGGGCCCTCGCCTCCCCCCAGAGCGACAACGTAGGTCGGCCCGTACAGTCTTATTTCAAACGTCAAAATCTGGTCTCTCTCTCTGAAGCACGGTGCACGCTCATTTCTGCAGTCGTCTACTGTACTTGCGTCGCATTCGGCCGGCAGCCCGCCCGGGCCCCACGCGCCAGCCCACCCCTGACGCTAATCTTAGTCCTGACACTGGCACACGTTTCTGCACATGCTGCCACTGGGAGTACCCCCCCCCCCCCCCAAGTCAGCCAGCCTGCCACCGCTCGTCGCTCCACCCCGCTGTCGCATTCACTTCTTCTCCCCCTGCCCACCCTTCTCCTCCGCCCCCGCCTTCGCATCCTCCGGAGGCGGCGTCCTGCGGCCGATGCATGGATGTGTCAGCAATTCCGCAGTGGTCTAGGAAGCGTGCGGGGAGGGTGGCTAGAAAATGAAGTGTCCAGGAGGTGTCTAGGAGGTGTCTAGGAAGCGCTTAGGGCAGCCGTCACCGCGCGAGTATATCCCGCGCAAACGTGATCTTCTGCTGCAAGTACTCCGAGCCGCCTAGGAAGGTTGGGTGGGAAGTTCCGCGAAGCCTCTCGGAAGCGTCTGCCGCAGTCTTGGTGTTGCCCTTGGCGGGGTCGTTCATTGCGATCATTTTCTCCGCCACCTCGCGCACCTCCTCCTCGCTCGCCTTCCCGCCGACGTTCAGAATCTGCCTCGCCTCGGCCTGTGCGGCCGCGCTGCCAGCCGCGCGACCCGACCCCCGGCTCGCCGCCTGCCCCCCATCCTTGAGCGCCTGCTGGTAGGCCTCGAGGAACGCGCGCCCCACCACCCCGCTCCCTGCCATCACCAGGTTGGCGAGCAGGCGGATGATCGGCGCGCCGACCCCGCCCGAGCCGTGCCGCACCGGGAGAAAGGCGGGCGACGCCAGCCTCGGCAGCCCGACTCTGCGCGGCGCGAGTGCCAGCGCGGTCGGCCGAGGGAGCCGTGTCGTGGCTAGCAGACCTCTCCGCATGTGTGCGTGGAGTCGGGCGCCTTGCTGGAATTACTTTTTTTGGTGTGCCGGTGATAGTACTAGCACGCGCCAGTTCGCACCTGTGTCGAGCCTGTCTGCTGTGAGAGAGAGTTGTTTTGTTTAAATACTTTTTTTATAGGAAGCCTGCAGGAAGCCGAGCCCGGAGGGAGCTCGGGAATTTTTCGAATTTTCGTGGATTTTTCGCGAGTGAGCATCGTGCTCCACACGTGATGAGCATCGCTGCTGCTCGCCACCCCGGACTGGACCACTACAGGGTAGGGCAAAGCGCCATACCTGTTGCTTTCGGAACCATGCGTGGTGAGAATGTCCACACACCTGCGGCTTGGGCGAGGGAGCCGCCACCGAGTGGAAGTGCGAGCGCGTGCACCACATCTCGTATCTCTTTTCTCGGCGGTGCCTGTTCTCACACGAAAACTAGGGCCCCCCACACCGGTGCGTGGTCGAGTCATTATAAGTGACCTGCCGCGGTGCTCGACCACGCACCAGGCAGGGGGGCCTGACCGAGGTGACTACCCGCAGCAGGATACTCTCTGGTCGCATCTAAACAATGGGAGTGCTCGCGGGAGAGTGATTGCTCCGCGGGAGAGGGAGCAGCTGCACGAAGCGGTGGTTTACCTATGGTGCAGACCGCGAATATAGCGGGCAGGGCTAGAGGGATAGAGAGGCCGCCAACGTCAGAGGCTCTCAGACACCGACACGTGTCGAGGCTGCAGAGAGGCCGTGCCACGAGCAAAGCTGCAGCAGCCTTCGCCGGAGAGAGAGCTCGGATAGAGAGCGAATAGTAGAGTCGCGGCATCTCACACCTACAGCTGAGGAAGCTTCGGTGGCAGACCCGAGCCCACAGCGCAAACGCCAAGCTCAGCTCAGGACAGCCTCCGGCTCGCGCAGGACAACCTCCAACTCAGCTGCGCTCCTGCCACCACGTCAACCGCACCGACAAAGACGAGAACAGCACGCGAAAGCCAAGCCTGCGTGCCGACTCCCAGCGACTCCGCAGGCGCCGCTGGTGAAAGTCGAGCGTGTCACTCGCCGGCAATCTTTTCTCTTTTTATTTGTTAAACACCGTCCCTGCGGCGCGAGCTGTCATCAGATTTGCTGCTACGCTGTGAATGAATGAAACTTCCCAGCTGGACGTCAGTATGGGGGGCTTGTTCGGTGCATTCGGTTCACACCGTATACATCTCGGTTTACCTACCTACCTCGACACGTGGCTCCGGCTGCGCACCGTTCCCGCCTCGGCCGTGTGGGACACTAGATCCACGCCAGCGCTCATCCGACAGGCCAACGGGCAGCCCTTCTCACAGGAGATCGCCCCTCGACGCTCCGACGAAGCTAGGACGGGGAACGACGCCGTCGTGGCGATGCGGGCCGCGCTGAACGGCCGCGGCAACGCCAAGGTGGTGCGGCTCGGATGCTCGCCCTCGTGTCGAGAGGGGAGGCTGTGCCATGGGGACAGCCTCGCAGCCATGGCGCGAGAGCTCATCGGCGTACGAGACGAGCGGCGCAGAGAGGGGCAGCAACGTGGAGACGCCCCAAAGCCACGCAAGCCGAGGGCAGACAAAGGGGTGCCGAGAGGCCCGCGAGCCCTCAAAGGCACAACGGCATACCAGATCGGGCACCTCAGTCTACTGCGGTTTCGGCACGGGCACGAGAGGCAAGTGTCACAGCGGACCCTCGACGCGGTGCGCGAAGCGCAGGGAGCTGGGGTCGAGCCGTGGAACACGGCAGAGCACGACAAGGCAGTCCACGGCCCAACGCCCGAAGGCGGGACGACGAACCCGATGGAGAGCGAGCCGCCAGCGAGCGAGACGTACGACGACGAGGGAGACGACGAGAGAGATAAGAGCGCCGCGGCGGACGACGAGATGGCCTTTATCGACGATGAGTTCTTCGAGCTTCCCGACGCGGCAACGGAGGGAGAGGCGGAGGGCGGGGGAAGCCAGAGTCAGTACAGCCAACAGAGCCAGGGGGGCGAGAGCGAGGGGAGCCAGAGCAGCCAGGGCAGCCGACGGACAGCGCACCGAAGGTCGCGGACAAATCGACAAGCCGCGGAACGATTCATGGACCGACTCCGTTTCGAACTCCTACAAGGAGGCAGCGGCGGGGACGGACACAGACACCCGGAAGACGCCAACGACGGCGACGAAGATGGAGAGAGGAGCGAGGACGAAGAGATGCCCGACCGCACAACAGAGCCAGGGCCGAGCGAGCAACCACCCGAAACGAGCCATCCAAACGAAGGCAGCCAGACAGACGACGAATTCACAGTGATGGACGTAGAAGAGGAACAGCCAGAGGACGAGGCGCCCCAGCCGCCGAGGAAGCGAGGGCGCTTTGAGAATGAACGTAGCGATTCGATGAGTCAGGGAGGGGGGGCGAGCCAGCAGCATCACGAGGGCGAGGAGCCGATGACGAAGACACAGAGACAGCGCCAACGCCAGCGGAAGCAGGGATCGCACCGGAAGCCACCCGTCAAGTTCAGACGCTAACCGAGAGAATGGTGACAAGAAAGGGGGGACTCCGAACGGCCGAGCATGCCCTCGCATGCCGGACAATTAGGTAGGTCATAGACCTCCCCCCTCCCGATGAACGTGGTTCAGGGTGGGTGTTCTGTTCATAAGTCATAAGGCTACTTACTTGTAACCACGATCGATGCGAGGACGCAAGTCCACCAAACTCGGCCATTCCAACGGCCAGACCGCTCGCTTAAGGCTGATTGGCTAGACGAGCGGTCTACCTCCAACGGGGCTGACTGGCACAACGAGGAGAGGTCATCCGGATGTGGCGGGACGCCGCCGGGCACCTGGTTGCTCTCCTCCGCCAGACAGCCCCTCCCGACGGGGACGCCACCACCCTCGCCCAGGGATCTACAATGCTGTCTTAAGGTCCGACAGGTTCGGCACCGGGCACCGCCTCGGTATACAAAATGCGCTTGCGGGCGGACCCTTACAGATCACAGATCACCTACCTCGGTTTACGCAAATTCCTTGTTTGTGTTTCGCACCCGTAAACGGTGTGCTCCTTTTGGGTCGCATTCCCCTTGTTGTCACCAGTCGCACAACGCAAAGGAGCTAAAATCCCGCTCCTTCCTTAAATCACCTTGTGGCGGGATGCAAGGTTGCCGAAACAAAGATTAGCGCCGCAAAGGGATTTAACCCTGGTAGGTGGACAAAAGTCTGCGTTTTTCGGCCTCCCCTCCCTAACATTAGCCGGCCAAAATGTACCTGACCGGTTAATATTAGGGAGGGGGGGGCGGTCGGGTGTCAGACCTAGCGCTAGGCGTGCGAGGCTGACGTATTTTGGACAATCCACCTACCAGGGTTAAAAGTCGGCGCCACAGATAAGGGGGGTCCTCGAAGACCGGGAATGGCGGCGGCTCCGGCTCCCTCGGCTGGCAGCGGCCACGAGGAGTGGTTTGACCCGCCGTCTCCAGGTGTCGTGAACCAGGTGTGTTTATAAACTCTTAGTTAGTCCGCGTTTATAGGGGTCCCGTACCACGCGGAATCGGCCCTATCCAGTGCTCAAGTGCTCAAGTCCGCGTTTATAACATTCACACACTGCACTAGAGTGAGGCCCTCGACGGGCCCCGCCCCCAATGGGGCGGGGTTGAATGGGCTACAGGCTAGCCTGTAGCGCTGGCGTGGCGTTGACATGAGCACAAAGTTGCTAATGTGCGTAGACGAACAAAAAGTAGGGTTGAATTCGTCCACGTAAGGCTTGGTGAGTGCTTGGGGTGGCCTCAGGCATCCCCAAGGGAGTCGCAGCGGTGCCCCAAAAGCAGCTTTTAGCGATTGTCGAACCTCGAAGCGCGTTCGTTTGAAGAAAGGCACACGGTACTATCGCCTATCGGGCCACGGGCGTCGGGTCACCGGGAAACGAAAATTCGACACTTTGAGGGGTGAGAGCATAGCTAGAGTTAAGCCCTTGAAGGGCCCCGCCCCCAATGGGGGCGGGGTTGAATGGGCTGGCGCTGGCGTGGCGTTGACATGAGCACGAAGTTGCTAATGTGGGTAGACGAACAAAAAGTAGGGTTGAATTCGTCCACGTAAGGCTTGGCCTTGGGGACTGGTTGGGGTGGCCTCAGGCATCTCCAAGGGAGTCGCAGCGGTGCCCCATAAGCATCTTAGCGATTGTCGAACCTCGAAGTGCGTTCGTTTGAAGAAAGGCACACGGTACTATCGCCTATCGGGCCACCGGTGTCGGGTCACCAGTACTAAACAAAAATTCGACACTTTGAGGGGTGAGAGCATACAGTATTGTGGCATATCATGTCACATAAGGTCAAGCTTGACCGCAGAAGCATCAAGAAGCGGATACTCCAGCTCGACTGTGCCGGCAATGCTGCCTCCTCACGCCGGCTGGCTGCCAGCAGCCGTCGCGGCCCGTGGCGTGCACCAGAGAGGGAGAGAGGTCGAGTCCGCGTGGCTCAGGCCGGCCAGAAGGTGTGTGGCGACGGCACCGTGGCAGGAGTGCGGAGAAGAGCTCGCCGAACGCGAGCAGCGGAAGGCCGAAGTGTGCCAGCGCGAGAGCCTCGCGAACGGGTGCAGAAAAAGCTCGCCGTGACACGATGCCGGGCGGTGGTGGTGCTCTGGCGGCTGTGCACAGTGGGAAACGTCAGGCTGCAACAGGGCAGCACGATGGTCGTGCCCCGCTGCAGCCTGGCCTGACATGCACAGGGCGAACAGAGACGGTACTATCGCCTGGCGCTCGTCTGGGCAAACTTTGACCGCCGCCACAGCTCGCCACGAGCACGCAGCGACAAAATGATGACCGTGTCGAAGTTGAGGCTGGTCGAGAGAAAGAGGCTGCCATGCGAGCCGGCAACTGGCTGGCTCGGCGTGGACAGCCGGCGGCGACTTTTTGCCGAAGAGCGTGCCTGCCGAAGAGCGAGTCTGACTCAAAGTGCACGGAGTGGGCGCCGCCGACCGTCGGGAGGAGTCCGATGGGTGCCAGGACGATCCAGAGAGCGATGAAGGCGCAAATTGCGCCGCCGAAAGTGGCGGTAGAGGCCAGGCGGTGCGCGTGGGCCGGTCGGGCCACGTCCCGGGGCGAGCGATCGAGGGCCGCGGGGCTCGCCCCGTCGGCCGAGCGGTGCGAACGGCCGGTCGCCCGCTTCGGGTTGGACCCGCCGGGTGGTCCGGCGGCGGATTGCATGGCCGGGCGGGCCTCCGGGAGGCAGCCGGGGCTGCGACAGGGGCAGGGCAGAAAATCCCATTCGGAGAGCGTGTAGCGCGACCCGGTTGCTACTTTCAATGATAGGGAAAAGTGGATTTTTCGCGAGTGAGCGCTCCAGGCCGCTGGCCCGCTGGTGCTGGGCATGTCCTCCGAGCCACCGCCACTCTACAAGCCTGAGCTGCTCGAGCCGAAGAAGAAGCTCACCCTGCTGCAGCACTGCTACAAGGAGCCATGGATTCCGTTCGGTGCGGCGCGCCCCGGTCGACTCTTCGGCGGGTTGTAGCGCTGTCATAATCCATCCGCGAACGCTGTTCGGACCATTCGGCCGCCGCTGCCGCCGTCACACACCCGGCCGGCGGAGCCCTGCCTCGCGCCGACGCCGCCTGCCTCTGCGGGCAGGATGCTTGGTCACCGTCGGGGCGCTCTGTACGGGCCTCGCTGGCTTCATCCAGGGGGACCAGAAGCTGATGCAGCGGATGATGCGCATGCGTGTCGTAGCGCAGGGGGCGACGGTGCGTATACGGCTGAATCCTGCGCCTGTTGTTCCGCTTCTCACCCCGCGGCCCCATGGCAGGTGCTGGCGATGGTGGTGGGCGTGGCTTCACAGGCGCTTCACTCTCCCCGCAGATAGAAAGGAAGTCCAAGACTGGACATACGCCTCGCTTTCCCCGCAGGCGGCGAGTCAGCTATCGGGCGACAAGGAGAGCGTAAAGCTCTCCGGCAAGTAGGAGCGACGCTCAAGGGGTTTTCGTGCAGTCTGAGGGGAGTCCAGAGAGCGAGAGAGGAGGGAGGAGGAGGGGAGAGGGAGAGCGTGCCCGCGCGAGCCGCGAGTCTCGTGAAGCGTGGTGCCACGATACATAAATCCAAATTGTGATCGCACGCCTAGTCGGCTGTGCTCCCAACCTCGGGGGTGCCGGCCGGCTGGGGCTGCTGAGCGTTGCTGCTGCGGTGTGCGTCGTCTCTCGTGTCAGCCGACGTGTGGCATGCGCGTTGCGCGCAGGTTGCGCTCGATCTGCCATGCCATCGGCCGATGCGGGGCCCGCGCGCGCGCGAGGACTGCCGTGGTCTGCCGACTCGCCCCCTCATTCGCCGTAACACAACGCATAAAATATCACCTTATCAGCCTACAACAGCGGCAACCGAGCCAACACCGGCTAGTGCTTCACAGCCTCCAGTGCCCCGCGCTTCATGCTACGTGGCGGCTCTTTTGCTTACGCGGCTTGTTGCTCGGGGCTGGAGCGCTCCTCCGCTTGAGGCCGCCGCTTGCCTTGCGAGCGTCGCCACTCATCATCCCCCGCAGGGCGCGGCTCTTCTCCCCACGCCCAACCGCCTTGCCCGCCCCCTGCCGCGGCCGCGGCGCGTCCTCCTCCGCCAGTCTCGCCGCCGAGGCGCCGCTCTGCTCGGTGCGCTGCTCCGCCCTCCGCTGCAGCCCGTACAGCGCCTGCCGGTTCGCCTCGGCGGTGCGCGGGTCGGCCGCGAGATCAAAGAGGCGCTCGCTCAGCTCGCACAGGAGGCGGGGCAGCGGGGCGCCCTCGCCACCCTCGCCGTTGCCCGCGCCGGCCTCGCCCTCCTCGCCGGCCTCGCCCTCCGCGCCGGCCTCAATCAGCGGGTTCAGCAGCTGCTCGGTGCCGCGCTGCAGCACGTGCGGGTCTGCGACTGCTCCGAGGAGCAGCAGCGGGGGATCGAGGAGGGCCATCCACACGGCGGGCGCCGCGTCGGCTGGGAGCTCGCCCCGCAGCGCCGTCAGGTACTGGTCCAGCCCGAACAGCTGCACGCCGCGCGGTGCGCCGCTCGCGAAGAGGCCGTCTTGCAGCAACGCGGCGAAGGCGGTGGCCGACTGCTCGTCGAGGGCGTCGGCGCAGAGGGCGCGGAGGGAATGGCGCAGCGCGAGGCGCATCAGCATGTAAAACTTGTCCAGCCGCAGCCGGTCGATGCCATGCCACTCGCGCGCCATCGTCCTCCAAAACACTCGTGTGAACAGCGGCCGCTTCTCCGCCGGCAGCGCGTGCACGAGTGCAGAGAGGCGCTCGGCGAGGTCGGCCTGCACGGGACGCTTGTCCGAGTGCCACATGCAGTAGAAGAGCGCCTTCCACACCTTGGACAGCTCGAGCTCGGTCAGGCTGTGCGCCTGCCGCAGGTAGCGGGTCACCGCCTTGACGGCGTCGTCACGGATGCTCTTGTCTGTGGCGCGGCGGCGGGCGGGCGTGAGGCGAGGGAGAGAAAGCGACACGGCGCTCGGGAGGCGCCTCACCGCTGGAGGCGAGCTGCTTTCCGAATTTGGGCGGTTGGCCACCCATCTGTGTTAGTGCCAATGCTCGCCTGTCCCCGTGTCCCGTGCCTATCAGATATAGTAAGACCGTCAAATTCTTTCGGCGCGCTGGTGTCGCAAGGGGGCTGAAGGCTCGGGCTGGACGCTCGAGGTGTCGGCCGACAGCAGCGGCGGCGGCGGAGCGCCCGCAGGCACGAGCCCGTTGGGCTGGTGGTACAACACCTCAGCCCACCCGGCCGGGCCACTCGGGCAGGTCGAGCTCCCAGGCGAGCGCGTACGCTTCGCGCATTTTGGTCACGCCCTCGGCCGCAGCGTTCGCGTCACACAGAGCTTCGCCCTCGATGTAGAGGAGGACAGCGGGAAGCCGGTTACACACACACACACACACACACACACACACGGAAGCCGGTTAGCCTTGTCGGTCGGAGCCCACGGGGTGGTGAACTCGGCCATGGTTGTGGCGAGGTGTGCACTGCAATCGTGAGACTGTTCCAAGGCACTGATGGGACTGTTTCTTTCACATAAATAAATAAATACAACGGACATCCCAAGCTAGGGCTGGGTCGAGGACAGACACGTCCCCACCTTTGCAGGATTTTGCAAAAGCGAGGGGGGAGGGCGCAGAAACACGTACCTTCCCGTAGCGCGGCGCAATTTTCTTCTTCGCGCTGGCTGTCAATGGTATATTGCAAAATGCTGCGGCTTCTCTTCCGCGCCGATCAACACACCACGCCCTCCAAAGGCGGGGCCGTCGAGGCGTGGGTGCGCGACGAGATGGACAAGCTCGAGTCTCGTCGCGAGCGCCCAGACGAGACGGCCTGGGAAGTTGAGACGCGGGGCAGCAAGGCTCGGCGCGAAGCGGACGCCGCAGGCCTCGCGTCGCTGCCGCCCGAGCTGCTGCAGTTCGTGTGGGAGCACTCCACCGCCCGCGACCTCGCCCGCTTGGCGCTCACGAATGCTTATTGGGCACTCGCCGTTGCGCCCGCACGCCGCGACTTCTGGCAGAAGCACGATGAGATGTGCGTTGCGCTGAAGAGCGCCCGCAGCTTCGAAGACATGGAGGCTGCGTCTCAGATCTGCGCGTCGAGCACGCTGGGGATCAAGGCTCATCGCGACCTCATGCACATCGGCCTGCGCCACTTTCGAGACGAGGAGCGCTTCGCTGAGCTGCAGCAGCAAGAGGTGGCTTCACCTCCGTACTCAGCATTGCGCGCACTCAACATCGACGGCATCAACGCGTCGGACGCCATCGCGCGGCTGGAGTGCGCGAAACAGCATTTGGTGGTCCGCGAGCGTTGGCTGATCGATGACAATCCACGCTTTCCGCTGAGCGTGGTCTCAATGGCTGAGAGTGATCTCGTCGTCGCGACCACCCTGCGACTGCTGCCCTCCGCGCTGATGGGCGTGTGCATGGACATCCTGCAAGTTTCTCCGCATCGGGGGCCGGCTGCACTCATCAGCTCCGCTCTCAGCCGCAACCTGCACCGCACCCTTTGGGATGGCCCGCTGCTCACGCAGCTGCTCGAGGAGGCGGTCGAGGTGATGACAGGTGAGGACGACTCCGAGACAGTGGTCGTGTCCAGCCTTCTCGGGCGGCTGCCGTTCGAGCAGATCATGTGCGCGGCCAGCTCCTTCAAGCCGCTGAGCGAGCCTGGCAACATGCGCTTCTTCTTCGAGCTCTTCTTTTGCGACACGGATAACGAGCAACCCTACTTTTGCCTCGGGCACTGCAACTTTGGCTACGGTGTCTACGGTGTGAGGACGCTCTGCGAGGCAATCGACGCCCGGGCTCTGGCCGAGCTCATTGCCATCACGGTTGAAGAGGAGGTCGAGCACAAGATGAACGACCAGGACTACGATTACGACTTCCCGCCCGACTACCACCAGCTGACGGTCGACCTACTGCGCCGCTGGGTGGAGGCCAACAATTTCCCCAAGTCGCAGCTGCCGCGCGAGGAGGAAGACGCCTTCATCGGCATTCTCACGTCGCTCCCAGACGTCATCAAGAATGAGATTTCGCGCGACGCGCTCTCCTGGGTGCTCGGATGCAGCCGGCTGCCCGCGGCGGCGAAGCGGATCTGCAGCGGGCTTGCCTGAAACCCAGCCATGTCATGAAGACGTTTCATTGGCGCCCGCACAAGCGAGTCGCGAGCCGCGACGGCAAACGCGCGAGACATGGCGCGCATGATGGAGCGAGAGAGTAAAGGAAGGGGACCGAGCACGCGCGAAGTGGGAGTCTATGCGCGCTGGGACTGCGCTGGGACCCACACCACACAACTGATCTGCGGGAAACGAATATCGCGTACGGTGAAGTTCAAATAAAATTCAGAGACCCACATGAAAACCGTAGTTGGCACGTCGCGCCCCACATGACGACATGACGCCCCGCTTACCCCGTGGTTACCCCTTACCCGTCCCCCTCTCAGCTCTCTCTCCACACCACAAATACTCACACGACACGCGCCTACTCTCTTACTCGACCACACACTCATCAGCAATGAGACACCCGCCATGACCCACTTTGATGGCGGCTTTTTGGTCTTCAGCCCGGCCGTAAAGACGTAGGTGGGGCCGCGGAACTGCGTCTTGTAGACGGGGCACGCGTACTGGTCTCGGCTCGTGTCAGCCTTCTCCACCGGCACAGCCTTTGGCCTTCAGCAGCGCGCCGAGGTTGCTGATCGACTGGAGCGTGCTCGGGTGCCTGTAGCCGAGCGTCTCTCGCTTCGCCTCCAGCGCCTCGCGGTACAGCGCCTCCGCGCCGTCCAGGTCGCCCTTCTTCTTCAGAAGCGCGCCGAGGTTGTTGTCTTGTTGATCGAGGCGAGCGTGCTCGGGTGCCGAACGCCGAGCGTCTCTCGCTTTGCCTCCAGCGCCTCGCGGTACAGCGCCTCCGCGCCGTCCAGGTCGCCCTGACTCTTCAGCAGCGCACCGAGCTGGTTGATCAGCGCCGACGTCGCCCTCTCCGCCGCCTCCACCCGCTCCAGCGCCGCCCTCCCCTGCCCCGCCAGAGGCAGAGCCCCACGCAGCAACCCAAACACAGCCTTGTTGCACTCGGTCAGGCCAACCTCCCGCTCCAGCTCGCCCAGGATCTGCTCCGTGTCCTTCGGGTTGCGGCACTCCGCCTTGCGCACATCCACCTCGGACAGCTTCTTCGCGATCGAGGCAAAGTCCTCCAACAGCGCCGTCTCAAACGCCTCCTGCTGCTCCGAGCTCATCACCACCTCGAAGCGAGCGCCCTTGAGCACTTATTACTTGATAGGGCCTCCGCATGGTGGTACGGCTCTACGGGACCCCGCGGGCCTCGTGTCGACTGCGTGTCGATCGTGGATTCGTGTGAACGTGTGCCCCCTCACTCTGTAGCGCTACACCGCGGCTCTATCAGAGGCTAGTGCCATTTCACTCTGACACGCTAATCTTGAAAACGTCTCCAACGGAGCTCCGTGTTGCATCCAGCGCCCTCCCCCGCGCTCCCTGCGGCCATGGCCGATGATCCTAGTATGAGAGGTCATCTGGCTACCGCGAGAGCGACCCAACTCGTCGACATCGTCCGATGATGGTGCCTCAAAGTCAGCCTTCGGAGGCTATCGTGGGGTCGAGCCGGCAGTAGCCGTGACATGTGGTTCCACCACCCCTCGTAGGCTTTGCCTCTGATCGCCACCGTTCCCAGGCTGCCTAATGGGATGGAAAGGAAGGCTCGGCGAGCGTATAGAAGCGTGCTCGACCTCGACGTGGCAGCCTGCACGGCAGCGCTGGCGGGCGCGATGAGCGTCGTGCCACCTGACCCGAGACGGGTCGCAGGCGTCGTACTGAGCGCGTCGAGACCGTGTCCTGATGTGATCTGCACGGGGAAATCACGTCGGCGTCAAAGGAGCGACGTGCGACCTGTCAGAGCTTGATCTCCGATCTCAGCGGCGTCGAGTCGTCTCCGGCGCGCGACAAAGGTACATCCACAGGACGCGCAGAGGCACCGACATGTACCTTTGTGCGCAAATGGTCAAATCAAGGTTTTGTAACGCGAGCTGTGCCACAGTGAAATGGCACTAGCCAGAGAGAGCTACGGCTTTACACGCCGGTCGCCGCTATACTTTACTCTTTAGCGCCTATATTGGATGGGGGAGGAGGAGGGCCACAGACCAGAGAGCAGCCTGAGCCAGGCAGCAGGGCAGAGACCAGAGTCGGCTTTTTGAATTGATCATAAACTCCCAGATACGTTAAAAACACCCCGCCACACCTCAATACATAGAAAACGCAACGTAACGTCGAGTCGTACCTCTGTGTTGACTTTGTAGAGAGCCATGCCGTCGCGCACGCGGCACGGCCCGTTGCCGCGCCCCACCGGCCACAGTGGAGCGCGGGAGGCGGAGGCCACGTTACTGCAGCTCGACGAGCAAATCGCCCGCCTGCACGTCGTCGCCGGACGCGACCGTCAGCTGCGCGACGCGCCCCGCGACCGGCGCCGCCACCACCGTCTCCATCTTCATCGCCGAGAGGATGAGCATCGGTGTGCCTGCGGCGGAGGAGGGGCAGAGGCGTCTGGGGGGCGAGGGACTTGGCGACTGGCCGCGAGGGCAGAGAGCGCGGCTCGCGAACCAGCAGCCACATTCTCTCCGAGCGCCACCTTCGTCTCGACGACGACGCCCGGCATCGGTGCACCGACGCTGTTGACGTCGCCGCCGTCCGCCTTTGGCCGCTGCACCTTCGTGGCCTGTGTTCACGGCGGGAGGCGTGAAGGTGCACCATTCACAGACGTCGGCCGCTGCATCTCGTTGGCCTTGGCGGTCTTGTCCGAGATGAGGACGGAGCGCGGCATGCCGTTGAAGTTGAAGAACACCTAGAGGGCACACTCAGTGGCGCGCGTCCACGAGGGCCCGAAAGGGACGCAGCAGCCGGACCCCAAGAACACCTCGCGTGTGGCGTCCTTCTCATTGAGCATCCCGATTGCCTCGAGTGAGATCCCAATCGTTTTGCCGCGCTCGAGCTCGACGGAGATCTCCTCGCCGAGCTCGAGCGGCTCGATGTACGCGCGGGTGGGCAGCTTTGACACGTCGCCAAAGTGGTGAACGTCCGCCTTGAACTGCTCAAAGACCTTGGGGTACATGACCCACGACCTATAGACAAAGGCGGGAGGCTGCGGCAGGGCGTGCGTTGAGCCAGAGGCACGCGCGGCGTCGTTTGCATGAGGTCCGTCTCGCTCGTGGAGTCGCCGTACTTGGCCTTGAGAGCCGCCATGGACGCGTCCAAATCCAGCGGCGGCAGCTCCGCGCCCGGCCGGCCCGCAAAGACGGGCAGCTCCTTGACCACCTGAGCCTGCATCGGCTGCGGGAAGCCGCCGTGGGGGATGCCGATCGCTCCCTGGAAGTACTCCACCACGCTGGAGGGGAACGAGAGCGTCTCCGCCTGCGCGCGCACCCCCTCCTCGTCCAGGCCATTGGCCGCCATGAACTGCGCGAGGTCGCCCACCACCTTGGACGACGGCGTGACCTTGACGATGTCGCCGAGCAGCCGGTTGGCGGCGGCGTAGTTGCGCTTGACCTGAGACCACTGGTCGGCCAGCCCGAGCGAGGTGGATTGGAACTGCAGATTCCTGTTGGGCGAGATAGCGAGTCAGGGGGGGGGGGGGGGGGAGAAAGGGAGAGAAAGGGAAGAGAGAGGGAGAGGGAGAAGGATCGCACGTGTACTGCCCGCCCGGCATCTCGTGGTCGTACACCTCGGACGAGCCGCTCTTCTGCCCCGACTCGAAGGCGGCGTACGAGAAGCGCACCGTCTCCCAGTACTCGATCAGCTTGGACAGCTCCTGCAGCTCGACGCCCGTGTCGCGCTCCCCGTTCTGCAGCGCCGCGACCAAGGAGCCCATCGATGGCTGGCTGGTCATGCCGGACATCGAGTCGACCGCACAGTCGACCGCATCGGCTCCCGCCGCCGAGCAAGCGAGCATAGAGGCGACGCCGGTGCCCGCAGTGTCGTGGGTGTGCACGTGGATCGGCAAGTTTGGGAACTCCTTGCGCAGCGCCGAGATGAGCGTGGTCGCGGCGGCGGGCTTGAGCAGGCCCGCCATGTCCTTGATGCAGAGCACGTGGATGTGGCACTCGACGAGCTGCCGCGCGAGGTCGAGCTGCGGGCGAGGCGGGCCGGGGTGAGGGCCGCGCCGGTGTGCGTGGCGCTTGCACGGGTCGGGCGCGCACGTAGTAGTCTAAGGTGTACTTGGCCTTGCTCGGGTCGGAGATGTCGCCCGTGTACGAGATCGCCGCCTCGACGACGCCGCCCGCCGCGCCGACGGCGTCCACGCCCAGCTTGAGGTTGTCCATGTAGTTGAGCGAGTCGAAGACCCGGAAGACGTCCATGCCGTTCTTGACGGCGACGTCGCAAAACCTGGCGCGGGGCGCGTACACGTGGCAGGCGGTGAGCAGATGCATGCCAAGGTAGGCCATCTCGTGGAGAGAGGAGTGGTAGGCGGGCAGCAGCAGCGCAGGGGAGGAGGAGACGAGAGAGGAAGGGCAGGAGGGGTCCTCCGCCGGCTGGTGCGCACTTGAAGACGGCGTTGTCCGGGTAATTGGTGTAGCCGACCCCGTTGGCGCCGCGCAGCAGCATCTGGAAGGGCACGTTCGGCACGTCCTCTCGCATCTGCTGGAGGCGCTCCCACGGGCACTCGCGCAGGAAGCGGAGGCAGACGTCGAAGGTGGCGCCGCCCCAGTTCTCCAGCGAGTAGCACTTTCCGAGCACGTGCGACGTGAGCGGCGCGATGGCGAGGATGTCCCGGGTGCGCACGCGAGTTGCGAGCAACGACTGGTGCGCGTCGCGCCAGGTGGTGTCGGTCAGCAGCAGACCCTGGCTCTGCCGCACCGCCTTTGCGAACCCCTCGGGCCCCTCCTCAGTCAGCACCTGCTTGAGGCCGCGAGGCTGCAAGGTAGTAGGCGACGCCGCGATCAGAGGCGTGACGCGCGGCGTCACAGGGCCAGACGCGCCGGCGGCGGTGCGGCCGTTGACGACGAGGTCGCCTGGGGCGGGGAGGGAGCGGCGTCAGGCGAGAGCACGGCCTGAGACGCCGGAGGGCGGCGCGGCGGCGCGGCAGCTCTAGCGCGCCAAGGTAGTTGAGCAGCCTAAAAGATTGATTTGCATCTCTAAGAGTTGAGCTTTGACTCTCGGTGAGCTGCTCTCTAAGTATTGCTTCTGGCCGCGGTCGCGCGCGTCGGTGAAGTCGAGGAGCTGCGGGTTGTCTCCGATGAACGAAGTCGTGGCATGCCCCGAGACGAAGTCGGGGTGCTTGAGCACGTTGAGGATGAACGGGATGTTGGTCTTGACGCCTACGTGTACCATACCTCCAGGGTATCGAATCCAGTGTGGGTTCAGCCCTGTGGGTGGTGTGGTAGCAACGGCCCATCCTGCCAGGCGCCTGGGGGGGGAGGAAGGGGCGGAGAGGCGGCAGGGGCGGAGAGGCGGCAGGGCGGGAGAGAGAGACGCCTCGAATGCGCGTCTCCAGCAGCGCGCGCGTCAGCTTGTCAGCAGCCTGGTTGAAGCTGAGCGCGGAAGCCGTCACCTTCATCAGCATCGAGTCGTAGTGCGCGAGCACGCGAGCGCCCGGGTAGGCGTTGCCGCCGTCGAGCCGGATCCCGAACCCCTCGGCCGGCCGCCACACCTGGATGCGTCCCTGAGAGGCGGCGGAGCGGTTGGCGGTCAGCAGGAGAGGGATGGGGCCAGAGGGCGCGTGGGTAGTGGTGCGGGGGCGAGCAGGGGCGGTCTCGGAAAAGCGTCTCCGTGCGTGCCGTCTGTCTGGTATAGCCCCAGCCGACTCCGCGTGAACTCTCGAGGGATCTCGAGTTGCGGAGCTCCCCATATCTTCCCATATCTCCCCATATCTCGAGTTGCGGAGCCAGCCCGGTGTACGACCTCTGTTCACACCGAGCAGCTGGGAGTGGCTGCGGCTATAGCAGACAGGCGCGCCGTATCGGGCCGGAAGTCCTCGGCCGGGTCCTCCGTGGTCACGCGAGCTTGGATGGCGAAGCCCCTCATCGCGACGTCCTCCTGCGACAGCCCGATCTCGTGCAGCTTCTGCCCCGCAGCGATCCTGATCTGCGACGACGGACCGGGGCAAGCTCGGGCGGCGGCGGCGAGGGCGGCGGCGGGCGAGGGCAGCAGTGGCGGCGACGGCGAGGGGGGGCGGAGGCGACGGGGGAGGCGGCGAGGGTGGCGGTGGGCTCGGCGGCAGCGGCCTGCGACTGGACAAGGTCGACGCCGGTAATTACCTCCGTCACGGTGTGCTCCACTTGAATCCTGAGCGTTTTGGGGGGCGAGCGCGGTGAGCGCGATGAGCGCGGTGAGCGGTGAGCGCGGTGGGCGCAGTGAGCGCGGCCCGTGTAATGAACAGCCGTGTTTGGCTTGTTGAGTATGCGTGTGCCTCGGATTGACTTCGAGAAAGTAGTAGTTCCACCTGCGACGACGGAGGGGCCAGGCTCGGGCGGCGGCGGCGAGGGCGGGGGTGGCGACGGGTGAGGCGGCGAGCGCGGGGGGGGGGCGAGGGCGGCGAGCGCGGGGGGGGGCGAGGGCGGCGGCGGACGTCTTCCGGTCGACGAGGAACTCAACGGTGCCAGCGCAGAAGTAGCCGGCACCCTTGGTGATGCGGATCGCGTCGGCGTACAGCGACTCGCGCAGCGACTCGGGCAGCCCGATCGACGGCGCAACCTCGACGATCTTCTGGTGGCGCCGCTGGACGGAGCAGTCGCGCTCGAAGAGGTGGGTGGCGTTGGTGCCGTCGGCGATGATCTGGATCTCGACGTGGCGCGGCGACTCGACGTACCGCTCGATGAACATCGCGCCCTGCGCAGAGGAGGTACATTGCATTTGGTTCACTTCGGGCTGAGATAACTTGTACAATTTGATGGGCCATGTCCTTTGGTCACGCACGTTGCCGAAGGCCGTCGTCGCCTCGCGCGACGCCGAGAGGAAGTTGGTCTCCAGCTCGTCCTCCGAGCGCACGATCCGCATGCCCCGCCCGCCTGAGTAGGTCAGCAACCGGCCGTTTCCAGGAAACGGCCCGGCCAGCCCGGAGGCGGAAACGTCGAGACGTACCGCCGCCGAAGGCAGCCTTGCAGATGACGGGGTAGCCGATGGACTGGCAGAAGTCGCGCGCCTCCTCGACCGTCTCGACGGAGTGCTGCGTCCCTGGCACCACCGGCACGCCGAACTCCTCAGCCAGCTGCCGCGCCTCCGTCTTATCGCCGAAGCGCTGAATGACTTGCGAGGGAGGGCCTGTTCACAGCTCGAGGCGTGAAGAGACGCTGTTCACGCTCACAGTAAAAGAGGCTCGGCCACGCCCACCGATGAAGGTGATGCCCGCCTGCTCGCACAGCTCGACGAAGCGCGTGTTCTACGATGAATAGCTAAGCATGAAGTAAGCAATGACGGTGTGGCTGAGCATCGACCCGGCGGCAGACAGGACCTCGCTCAAGAAGCCGTAGCCTGAAAAGAAAACACAGCCGTAAAACGAAAGCTGTCGACCCGGGCCGGCGCCTGGTCTTGTCGCGCGCCTGGGTGGATGGCGTCGACGTTGTTCTCCTGTGCAAGACGGCAGCCGAGAGTCTGCTTTCTGCTCTTTGCTCTCTCATCCTGATCTCTGCTCTCTGCAAGCCTTTGCGATCTGCACAATCTCCTCCGCCGACAGGTATGCGCCGACAGGCGACTTGTCCTGCCCCACCAGAAAGGCCTCGTCCGCCTTGGTCCTTCCTTGAGGGACGGCAGGGGTGAGATGGGGCAGAGAGGACCCTCGGCGCAGTCTGAACATTATTGCACCTGTGCACCGAGTTAAAGTCCTCCTTGGAGTAGATGGCGACCGTCTTGATGTCCATCTGAGCAGGCGAGGGAGCGGCGCACTGGGGCTGCCAGGCCGACGCTTGCGCGGCGCGGGAGTGGGCAGGGCGCTCAGGCGACGGCTCGCGCTTGCAGAGCAACAGCGCGCCTCGGTGGCGGCCCGGAAGATGCGAATGGCGATCTCGCCCCTGTTGGCGGCCATCACCTGCGCAGAGACGTCGACGTGAGAATGGCGGCTAGCAGACCACCCGAAGTTCGAACCATACTCACTTTTTTGATGGGCCGCCACCCCGGTCGCGCTGGCGGTGGCGTCGCCATCGCGCCGGTCGACGCCCAGCGGCGGGTCAGCGGCGGCGCAACCGCCCAATGCCGCGTCAGAGGCGGCGGTGCGATGCGTGCGCCGCACGAACGAAAGGAGCGCAGCATGGCACTGGTCTTGAGGCCGGCGCCGCCGCGCAGCGTGTGGGGTGCAATCAACTGGAGCGCCGTTTGGCCGAGCAGTGCGTGGTTGTTTTTTTTTATCGGCATGCCGAGGTAGGAGGGGTAGGGGGTCTGGGCCCTCCCGTCGGGGTTTTCCCTCTCTTCAAGCTGGAATTTTCAAAAAAGAAAATTTCCGCAGAAATCACGATGTCAACCCTCCCCAAATGGTGTGTGTGTGTGTGTGAGTGAAAAACCGCCAATGGCCGTTATCCGTTAGTGCGGACGTCGCCGCGGCTCGCCTCTGCCGCGGCGGCTGCTGCGCGCACGCGGCGGCGCCGCTCTCTCGCGAGACGGCTGGCGACGCGGCTCGCCGCCGACGTACGGTGCGCTCGTCCGACGGTCCGCAGCGTGGCGTGCGCGGCGCTGCGCGCCGCTCTGCGAGCGCTTCTGCGCCTGCACTGCCTGTCTCTGTTGCTGCTGGTGGTGGTGGTGCTGCTGCTGCTGGTGCAGATGCTGCTGCTGGCGCGGCGCGGCTCTGCGACTGGGCTCGACGCGCGCGTCGCGAGCGTCTGACGCGGCGGGCGGCGTCGGGCAGGTGCGCTTCTCTCTCGGGTGGTGGTGGTGGTGCTGCTGCTGCTGCTGGTGGTGCAGATGCTCCTGCTGGTGCGGCGCGGCTCTCCGACTCGACTCGGTGCGCGCGTCGCGGCTATCTGACGCGGCGGGCGGCGTCGCGGGCGGCAGCGGTGGCGGCTCGCGGGTGGAGGTGGAGGCTGGAGGCTGTGGTGGACCTTTGAGTTTATTTAATGGTCGACTACGAGGACCGGGGGTCAACCGGGAGGCAGGGGGTTCAACCAGGTGACGGCGGACCGTGGGCCATCGCGGGGACCGTTCGCCCGGAGGGCGTACTGGGCTGATCCGGATGGTCTTCACGCCGGTGGGTGGCACCGAGGCGTCTGGGACGCTCAGCTCTACCTTAAGCTCCTGAGGGGCGCGTGGTTGTAACCACGTAGTAGGACTACAGCCCACCACAGACACCCTCCCCCACTCCTCACGTGTGTTCACACCCTCACCCTCTCCTCTCTCCTCTCTCTCTCTCTCTCTCTCCTCTCTCTCCTCTTGTCTGTGCTGTCTGTCTGACTCAGGCACTCAATCTGCCGATGCGTGATTGTGTGTGGGCTGCTCCGAGGGGGCCCTCTGTGCGATCCGACGGGTAGGGGGGCTGTGCCCGGGCGGTGTCCGGTGTGGAGTCCCCTTCTGATCCCGCCTGGGATGTTGGGTGTGAGGTTGTGGCGGCTTCGATCCCAAGGGGGGGAGCTGATCCCACTCAATAACCAACTCTCAGGGGCAGTAGGTGGGCGAGCCTCGAGCGCGCTCATCTCGATCGTCAAGACGTCGCTACGCGCGGTCTTCCGCGGGGGGAGCTGCGTCGACGGGTGCGGGACCGCGGCGCAGCCAGTGCCGCGGCGAGGCCTCCGGCTGTTTGCGGCGGGCGGCTTGCTGCTCGCGGCGATGGCGAAAAACTCGTCTCGCCACACGCCAAGGGCTTATGCTCTGGCGAGACGTGAGGCGCATGCGCCCAGGAGGGGAGGGGGCATGTGTAACGACACTGCTAGAGATGCCTTTTGGGGCCCAGAGATAAAACTTCTGTGATCTTGCCATGCGTGACCTAGTAGTGTCCCCAGCTATGGGCGTGTCCACGTTGGAGCCAGGTGTGGTGTGGGCGCGAGAATAGCTCCGCCGTTCATGGAGGCAACCGATGCGAGTCGACTGGTGTGTGTCGTCGTGGTTTCGTATCAAGAATACTCACTCACACTCACTCCCCAAATGGGAGAGACTTCTTGCAAATGGGTGATCTGATGCTTGTAGGGCTTGAGAGTGGCCTGCCATGTCACAAGAAGGACTGTGGTTGCAGGAGAGTACCACCAACCATCACTCTAGTTGGTATAGTACCCCACCTTCACCGATCGAGTGATTTCTTTTTTAGTTGGGTAGGTAGGGGCAGGGCAGGGGCCGGCCAGGTTTTTGCAGAATTTCAGCATGAGGTCCGCCCAAGCAAGAAGTACACACACCTGGGCCGAGGTCCCTTTTGCTCCCGCTTTTTCTTTCTTTTTGAGAGAGAGAGATTTTTAGCAATACCTTAAAGAGAGGTTACAGGCGGGTAAGATCCGTTAGCGGGAGATCGGCGGGAGCGGCGCACGTTTCGAATTCGGCGGGCGCGTTTCGAATTTGTCGACGGACCGTTTCAGATCTCTGCGCTCCCGTATGAGCGAGGCTGCCGACGCTGCCATGATTGAGGCTGCCGACGCCGACGGGCGGCTGTGCGACGACCCGCTGACGGACCGCCCCGTGGACGCGGCAGCGGCGGCAGAGCGAGAGAGATCGGCGAAGGCGGCCAAGCTTGCTGCGCAGACCGCCAACGCGATGGTTGCCGTGCAGGGGCAGCTCAAGTTGCGGGGACAGGCAGCGGACAAGGCCGCGCACGACGCCAACGCGGAGGCGGGAGCGCCGGTGAAAGCGTCGTCTATGATGGTCGTCGAACGAGTGTTCGCCGCCCGCCTCGACGGTCCGGACAGGTACATGGTGGCTCGACGAAAGGAGCGAAAGACGGCCGCCGGGGCTGGCACTGCCGTCGAGGTGGTGGCGTGGTTGGAGAAGATGGCGAACTCCGCCGTCACGATGGTGCGGAGAGAAGGCGCCGACGGCATCACGGTGACTGCGGAGCACAAGGCGCTGCTGGATGACGTGGCGTTGGAGCAGGGTCGCAAGGCGATCGTGGCGAGGGCGGCGTCAAATTACCGCCAGCACACCGCGTGGCTGGCGACTTTTGCGACGTTTGTGCAGTGCTTTTACCCGTGTGGATGGCGGCACAACCCGCCGCTGGATGGAAAAAATAAAATATTCTTAGCTTCAAGCCCCCCTCCGAGACTAGGGACAGAACCCAGAGATACATACGTCAAAGGGACTGCGCCTCGCCCCCACTTGCCCTGACTACACAGGATAGCGTGCCCCGATAACGGCGACACATAGTGGGGGACACTGCGCAAGGAGGGGGTGCGAAGGCTCATTGGGGTACTAGGTGGGACCATGAGGGGGGGTGGGCGGGGTCCTGTGGGGGTGAAATGTTGCGCGGCGAATTCGAACCTACCCCCTCGCCGCGCCGATCCTCACGCGGAGGGTAAAACCCTGTGGGACAAAACCCCCCCGCGATCGGCAGTCTTCAGAGTGGACCCCCCCCTCCCCAGCCTCCCCTGTGCATCTCGCACCCCCCCCCGCTCCCCATCGGTGACTCGCGAAGGACACGGACACTCGGGGTGAGGGGGGGTCCCCCCGGAGGGGGCTCTGGGGCATTGTTGGGTTGATCGCTCGTGCCGATCTCGGGTCGATCTCGGGTCGATCTCGGGTCGATCTCGAGTCGATCTCGGGTCGATCTCGGGTCGATCTCGGGTCGATCTCGGGTCTCGGGTCGGTCTTGGGTCGGTCTCGGAGTGGTCTAGAAAAGAAAAAAAATGTGGGGCGAGATGAGGCGAGATGAGGCGAGGTGAGGCGAGGTGAGGGGCGATGAGGCGAGGTGAGGCGAGATGAGGCGAGGTGAGGCGAGATGAGGCGAGATGAGGCGAGGTGAGGCGAGATGAGGCGAGATGAGGCGAGTGACGAGATGAGGCGAGATGAGGCGAGATGAGGCGAGATGAGGCGAGATGAGGCGAGGTGAGGCGAGATGAGGCGAGGTGTACCTCGGCGAGATGAGGCGAGGTGAGGCGAGATGAGGCGAGCGGGTGAGGCGAGATGAGGCGAGGTGTGAGGGGCGCGCGCTGGTGTGCGCTGCGGAGCCGCTGAAGATCGACCACGGCATCGTTCTCGCCGCGGTGCAGCAGACCGGTTACGCGCTGCAGTGCGCCGCGGAGCCGCTGCGGGCCTGCGTGCGCCGGTAGGGGGGAGTGTGTGCGCGCGTGTGTGAGATGAGGATTGTGGCAGGCTGGCTGCTGCTGATGTGGGCAAGTGTGCTCTGTGTGGGGCGCTGCGCTGGCGTGCGACGCGCGCGTGCTGTGTACGTGTGCGTGCTGCGGTCGCGCGCGCGTCTGTGTGTGCTGCGCGCGCGCCGCCGGTGTGTGCTGTGCGCTGTTCTCTGTTGTGCGCCCTGTTTGTGCAGCTGGGAGCGCAGGCTGGCTGGCAGGGCTGCGCGGCGGGCTGCGGCGTGCTGCGGGTGGTCGCGCGCCTGCCTGATGGTGTACGGCGGCCGCGCAGCCCGCCCGACCGGGTCGTCGGCGGCCCAGGGCGCGAGCATGCGGACTGCGCTGCATGTGAGGCTGCTGCGCGGCTGGCGCGTATGTTTCCGTGCGGCGAGGGACGCGCGTATGTGTTCACGCTGCGGGCGCGGGCGGGCGCGGGGGGCGGCGCAGTCTCACCGCGGTCCGACGTCGGTTGGTCTTCGGCGTGGCGAGGGCGGGCGCGCAAAGAGGCCTTGCCGCCATCGCGTTGCCGCGAAGGAAAAAGAATCTATGTATGCCCCGCCGCTGGATGGAAGCGAGGGCGCAGGGACAGCTATCGACCCGCGGCTGGTGGCGCTCTGGCGCTATACTTGGCGATGGTGGCAACAATACCAAACAACTCTAACACTCACACATTATTGATGTTGATTGTTGTCGAAATTGATGATTTCCGCGGAGTTTCCTCGGGAAAACTAGAGAGGAAACGGCTGTAGAGAAACGAAAGGAACGAGACGGGGTGAGCGAGGAAACCGCATGGGTACAGCCTAATTCCCGGGCCGAACTGAGCGCCCAAATCAGCAGGCCGAGGAGCGAGGCGGGCCCAGCGAGGCAATACCAAACAACTCTAACGTTGTTTTGTTGTTCTTTTTGTGGATCAGTTGCGGCTGACCATGTTCCGTCAGAGGTCACCTCCATCACGCCGCTGCCCGATGGCGTCTCGATTGGCGACCGTGCTTTCTTTGACTGCCCCCTCAACGACGAGGCGGTGGCAGTACTCGAGTAGTACGGGCCATCAACTGTTGGGCGGTGTGAGCCTAGCGCAGCGCGAACTCGCCGTCTGAGCCTAGCGCAGCGCGAACTCGCTCTGAGCCTAGCGCAGCGCGAACCCGCGCACACAAAAGCTTTTGCGCAGCAACCGAAAGAAAGAAAGAAAACAGACAGCCCAAGGGAGGGATGGGAGGACGGCACGCCGCCACCACACAGGGATTTTAAGGAGAGGTGTGTGATGCGCTAGCCGTCGCCCACCCTAGGGAGTCTGCCTCTTGTGCGCAGAACCCGGCCGGGCAAATCCTGATGAGCGATTCTCTCTTTTTGTGGTTCGGCGGCTGCCTAAACAACCCCGCCGCCCATCAGTTGCGCTCGGCTGACCATGTTCCGACGCCTACTCTCGGATGTGGCCGAGGGCTCAGGGGTGCTCTTGGAGCCGCGGGGGTGGCGCCCCCCCCTCCCAACCGCCAGCGCGGCGGACGACGCGTGCGCGGTCGAGAGGGACGCTTTCCTCTCACGGTGCGGCGAACAAGGAGAGGAGCTCTGTCCCGCAGCTGCGACCGACCTCGACCTCCTAAAGTGCCTATCGACGGTGCACGCGGGGCGCCGGAGGATCCGGTGCCATGGACGGCGTCTCTTCACCATCGTTGGATGTGAACAGGTCGCGAGCCGGACCCGGGGAGAAGTGGGCGAGAACTGCGAGGTTGCAATGTCGCGATTCTCTGACTGCTTGTACGGTGCGCGCCTCAGCCCGCTCTCCTCCCTTTTCTTCTCAGCCTCCCCTCAGACTTGCAGCACGCACCCGCAGGCCCGCGCCTGCTCCTCCCGATGGAGCTCGCCTCGGTCCTCCTCCTCGCTGCGGCGAGCGGCGTCCTCTTCTGCTCCGTGCTGCGCTGCTGCCTCCGCCACCTCTGGCTCCGCCCCCGCCGCTCGACTCGAGACGGCGGTGTCTGTATTCACACGCGTGCTGTGACCAGGCTGCGCCCCGTCTCCGGGCTCCACTCGGCGCGCGCGGCAGAGGCGATGCTCGATCAAGGCGACTCGGAGGCGGAGGAGGAGGAGGAGCCCCACGCGACCGAAGTCGGCCTCGAGCCGCTGCGCATCGCCAATGCTACCGCCAGCGGCAAGGCGGCGCCCGCTGGCGCCGCAGCCCCGGCAGCGGAGGACGAGCTTCTCCCCGCGTACACGGACGTCGTCGCTGGAGCCGCCCTCGCCCTCCAGCCGCGCGCGTCGTGAGCGCAGTGTACTGTGGGCGTGGTGGGATGGACACCTCTCGTGGAACTGTCTGCGCCGCGCGGTGGCCGTGCTCGTGTTTGCTAGGAGACAGTGGGGGGCGCGGCACTCGGTGCCTGTGGACGAGGGAGCTGCCGCGGCGTGCGGGAAGAGGACGTGTCGTGGTCGTCGCGCGCGCTGCCGATCGCGCTATACGCGCAGCATGTACAAAAAAAGGCCAAAACTGACCCCCCCCAAATCCGGAGGTTGCCTAACGTTAAATTACGGCCCCGGTGCCCGGAGTAGAGGGGTGCGCAGCGTCCTAACTAATCTAAAATCTGAGGATTCAGGATTCCCAGGCATCGCTGCTTCAGTGGGGACAAAGTGAGTTTATGGATGTGTGAGAACGGTACGGGACACGAGGAGTCACGCGGACCGACTCGTTGGTGACTCTGCTGCACGCCGTTTCAGAATTTTTCTCAGCGTGAGCGAGACGTGGAAGAGTGCCACTGTGGAAGGGATGAGAGTGGTCTGACCAGCAAGAAGAGTCCTGGTCGAGGCCCTCTGTAGCGCGTGAGGCGTCCCTCTCCCCTCGTTTGCAGAGGGGTCGTCATCTGGACCCAAAGGTTGGTGCCCAGCAGGTGTGAGTGGTGAGCCGCGTGCACGGAGCTCTGCTGTACTGGTGATCGCGGGTGAGGCTGGTGCAAAGCCATCCTCGATCCGGGTGCCGTCTCAGACGGCTGTAGGATTGGTATAAGGAACTCGGATACCCGAGTGGTTTAAGGGAATGGTGTAACACTACACCGGGAATGCTGGGGCGCAGCCTCAGCGGGGAGCATCAAGGTGTCACATGACAAACAACTCTAACACTCACACGTCATTTGGGGCCTGGAGCCCTGTTCACGCGCGCGCGAGATCTCTCTCTCACATGACGACGCCTCGAAGAGGACAAGGGAACTATTACGTGCCAATGTTTGGGCGCCTATTCGGCGCCCAAGGTGCCAATATTAGGGATCTAGGTGGCGAGACGTGCCACTGCACAGGGTGCGGCAAACGTAGATCAAATGGTTCGAGATAGCGTCCACTCAGCGACCGATACCCGTAACACATTACCGAGGGAATAGACACCACAGATACGCACACACCGACGCCCGAAGTGCCAAGAAGGACGTCATTAGTACGAAACCTCAGAAAAGGCCATGGGCGTCGAGAGAACATTCCCTCGAGAGGACAAAGAAAGGCGACGCACCCCCTCCTTGCGCAGTGTCCCCCGCTATGTGTCGCCAATTGGGGCACGCTATCCTGCGCAGGCAGGGCAAGCGGGGGCGGGGGGCAGTCCCCCTGGTCTGATACTGGGGTGTGGGTGTCTCCAGTCTCGGAGGGGGGCAAGAAGGTAAGAATATCTATTTTTTTTTGTTCAAGTCTTCACCCCAGCCCATGCTGTTACTGTTTGTTACTGTTGTTACTGTTGTTCAGCAGCCAGCAAGCAGAAAATGGCAAAAAACCCGGGTAAAGCCCGAAAATACCTGGGATTTTCCGGGTATTTTCGGGTATTACCCGCACTGGACACTAGAGATCGTCGTGGTTCACTGCCAGGCCTTCCTTACTGTTGTTCAGTCGGCCTAACGTCAGCTACTGTTGTTGGGGAGCCCCACTGTTGTTCTGTTGTTACTGTTGTTCTGTTGAGTGTTGTTACTGTTAACACTAAAAAAACTCGACCCACGTAGACAAGGAGCGCGCGCCAATGGCCGCCTCCGTGACACTCCCACCTCCTGGGCCGGCGCGCGAGTTTTAACGAGTTTCTCCCGGCCGATTGCCTCCTGACACGCCCACTGACCGACCCCATTAAAGGCCTATTTCCAGCTTGGGGAAGTGCGCCGCCCGTGCGTCATTGGGACTCGTGGCGCCTCCCAGGCCCGCCGCAGCGGTCCCGTGGGTACCTGCCGTCCGTACCGGTCCACGGGCTAGCCCTGGGCACATTCGGACCGAACTCGCTGCGCAATCCGGTCTCGGTGTTGCTGTCGGCGGCCGGCAGCCCTTGGGGGTCGAGTCGCAGGATGTCGCAAAACTTTGCCACACGTGCTCGAGCGTCGAGCTTCCGGCGTTCCCAGTCGCAACTACCTCCGGCGAGGTGGCTGACGTTGCACAATCACATCGGCGGCGCACTCGGAGAGCACCAGTGCTCTTTCGGTGGGCTGTCGTGGGGTGGTGCACGACATGCATTGAGAGGAGCCGAGAGAAGCAGCGGCTGTGGGGCTTCCACGGCTGCCAAAGGGTGGTTCACGACTACTCTGAGCAGGGCTGTGCTTTGGTGGGGTTGTGCTTGAGCATGTGTGAAGTGGGAGTGCGTGCCGGCGGTGTCTGTGGGTGAAACGGGCGTGTATGAGGCCGTAAGAGCCGTGGTATGAGCCAGAGTGGGCTTCATCACCCAAAATAAGGACGGTTTGGGAGAGCTCAGACTTGATGCTGATGGGCCTGGGCCAGGAGAGCGACAGAGAAGGCGAGGTGGTGAGCTGGGAAGCCGCTTCGTCGGCACCTGGACGTGTCGCGATGAACTGCCAAAAAGCACCTTTTGCGGCTATTGCTCAAGACTTCGGGAGACAAGGCCTACATATTATGACTGCATCCATGCGTCTGGTGCATGAGGTCTGCGGGTTCGGACATTTCACGGTCGGTGGCGCCGGTGATGGCCTCCGGAAAGCCCTCGCAATCGCCTCGGATGGGGTCCACCGGAGACAATCTCGAGCCCTCTCCGTGGCATCACGAGCCGGTGTGAGCTTGCAGACCCAAGGTAAGTGCGGTCTGGGACGGCTCAGGTGTGCTACTGATGGGCCTGGGCCAGGAGGACGACAGAGAAGGCGAGGTGGTGCGCTGAGAGGCTGGAGCGTCCGCGTGTGACCTTGTCGCGATGCAAGTGCCACAAAGCGTTGTTTTCTG